TCTAGACCTTACTGTTATTATTATTATTATAGAGGAAAACTTAACAACTCCCCCTTGAGCAGCACTTGGCGACAGTGGGGAGGAAAAACTCCCTTTAATAGAAGAAACCTCCGACAGACCCCGGCTCTTGGTGCGCGGCCTTCTGCCTCGACCGGTTGGGGTGAGTGGATAGAGGAGAGAGAAAAGAAGAAAAGCAACAAGACACAACAAACAATCAAACACTGGTCAGGTCGATGTTGGTGACTGCTCATCAGAGACATAGAGCTCCAGAGTCAGGGCTACCTGCAGAAAGGTACAGGGAGAAAATGAGGACACCCTACGGGAGAGAGGAGACACAAAGTTAGTGACATGTAATGGTGGCATATAGAAGCATGGAGAGAGAGGAAAGGAGAGGGGAGGGAAGGAGAGAAACTCAGAGCATCATGGGGCCCCCCAACAGTCTAGGCCTATAGCAGCATAACTAAGGGAAGGATCAGGGTCACCTGATCCAGCCCTAACTATAAGATTTATCAAAAAGGAAAGTCTTAAGTCTAATCTTAAAGGTAGAGAGGGTGTCCGCCTCCCGAACTGAGACTGGGAGTTGGTTCCATAGCAGAGGAGCTTGATAGCTAAAGGCTCTGCCTCCCATTCTGCTTCTGTGGACTCTAGGAACCACAAGTAAACCTGCACTCTGAGAGCGAAGTGCTCTGTTGGGATGACAAGGCTCTATGAGGTCTTTAAGATACGATGGATCCTTGTCATTAAGGGCTTTGTATGTTAGGGGAAGGATTTTAAATTCTATTCTGGATTTTACAAGGAGCCAGTGGAGAGAAGCTACTATGGGAGAGATATGATTTCTCTTGCTAGTTCCTCTCAGTACTCTGGCTGCAGCATTTTGGATTTTATCATACTATATCATAAAGCAAAACCATTGTTACAGCATCTGTGTACTTGTAATGTCAGAAAAAGAAATTCAGCTTTATGACTTTTTGAACAGGTTAAATATGCTTCAGTCAGGAAGCCGTTGGTCCACAGCTAGCATTCGTAACCAGGAAGCAGTGAATTTGGGTGGAAACCCTCCATTGAAAGTGATTTCCTTGAACACGGCTGATTGCCAGGGAGGAAAGGAAAGAGGGATTGAGAGCCAGAGAGTTACAGGATGCATGAGAGACCATGTGAATTAAAGTATGTGTGTATGGCCTTGTTTATATATACTTGTAGGGATGGAACACTGCTTTGGGAGGCCAGATATCACTTGTGGGGAATGGATACTGGGCCCCACGACTAATTTGTTGACTTTTACAGTAAGTGTCGGCTTTGGTCAAGGTTAGGTGAAGGGTCAAGGTTATACAAGTAGAGGTTCTGGGTAAGGTTAGGGTAAGTATCCTGGAAATGAATGTAACTCTTATGTATGAACCCTATAAGTGACAAAAACAAGGATGTGTGAGTGTTTGTGTGTGTGTGAGAGAGAGAGAGAGAGAGACTAAATGAGTGGATTGTGATACGGTAAAGGTGAAAGCTGGAAACCTAATCATCCTGTTGAAACAATACACAGACGTCTTATCAGAACACATCAGAGCACAGTAACACTCAAGTAGAAAGTTATTTTAATATACTGCGTGTTAAGGTTTTTGGCCTTTAAAGAATTGAATACATTACACCAAACCCAAAAGCATGAGAACTACCTAAACTACATGTCTGCATGTGTTAGATTTTGCCTTGGACACTGATTTCCAAAATAGCAGTCATGCTTTCTAAATTGTAAACCTGAAAGTCAGTAGAACATACTGTATAGCCCCATTTCCACCACCTGGTACAGGCTCAACTTGACTCGAATCGCCTTATTTGTTTTTCCATCAGTCAGATGTTTGGGATAGTACCTCGTGCTATTTTAGGTTCCAAGCAAGCTGATGCAATACCAAATGGTGACATGTAAACACAGCAGAACACAAATTCGTCAGATAAATTCATCACTACTATGCAGCCACTGATGATCATAACATTATCTGCCAATTCTCTCTCATGAGTGTTATAGAGGGTAACATTTATGGTGATGGATTCCTTGAGCCTGTTACTATGTAATATAACTGCTATATTAGGTGAACCACCCCATTGTACATCTTATCACATAGCCCGCAGGTTACTGAATGTGATAATATGAGCACAAGGGCTACAGTTATGTCTGCTAAGTAGAGCTAGCGAGCTGATACGTTAGCAGGTCATCACTTCTATGAAAACATCAGAGCAAATTTGTAATTGGCATTACTTGGATAGACTGACCACATGTTTGAAAACTAGATGATGATTTTCTTGCCTGGAAAACTATCAGAACCTAATAAAATGGCATAATAACAGTCCTAAGATGAAAATTATAACAGCCTTGAACCTGCTGTGCCACTGTGGGTCAGTGACTTCACAGAAGGTTCCTGCAGTGTCGCTGTGACAACCAGCGACACTACATGGGGACTATCTGCCTCAAACGGTTGGGGTGATCGGATAGAGCAGAGAGAAAAGAAAAGAAAAACAACAAGATACAACAACAAACAATATACACACTACGGGAGAGAGGAGACACACAGTTATTGACATGTACTGGTGGCAAATAGAGGCATGGAGAGAGGGGGGAGGGGAGGAGAGAAGCTCAGGGTCACCTGAGACAGCCCTAACTATAAGCTTTATCAAAAAGGAAAGTCTTAAAGGTAATCTAATTTTAATTGAGAAAGTCCATATTTGAACTGGCATAATGCAGACATAGTAACTTCTCCAGCCTTAAAACAATTCTCTCTAATGTTACAGAAACGAGGCATTAACACACATGCAACATGTGCTTTTTAAAACATTAGTCCCACTGAGTAGTGGAAACATCACTACCTTTCAAGTAGCTCCAAGGTCGGTAAATCCAACAGGTGGTGGCTGCTTTCTCCCCCACACGACCACATACAGTCCCAAAGTAGTGAAATGAATTCCAACAGGTAGAGTAGCACCGACAATAACATCGTGGGTTGTTAATCGACTTGTTAACCAGAAACGCATCACATGCAGCAGACACACTGGCTTCAAGCAGTCAAAACAAACAGGTACTGTGCTCTGGAGGAATCCAGTGTTGATGAGCTGATCAGTCACTGCCACGAGGGCTTCACAGGCGGCTGCTTGTAAGTTAGACCTGGTCAAGTAAAACAGCGAGTCCCTGTACAGGAACCTCAGGCCCTGTATTTTCCTCCACATCCTCTGGTCACAGTGCAGCAGCAGGAGTGAAAATATATCCACAAAACAGGGTGCAGTCAAAAAATTCCACTTTTAAAATGGTACCGGTGGATGTCAGGCAACTTCACATGAATGTACAACTGCCTGGAGATTATGACAATTCAAGGACATCTTAAACCATCACTAAGACTTAATTTTGTTAGAAAAAAAAGTATCATGAGCGAGAGTTTGTGAGACGTGTATAAAGTGAGTTGCTTCTCCATAGAAATACTAGAACATACGTACACCTCATTTTTTGAGCTTTAGGTTATGTCTAAGATGATAATTCACCATTGCAACACTGTAGATAAGTCAGAAAACAAGGAAAAGCATGTCATGAGCTCTTTAAGAATAACTTTTGATGCATCTCCACTATTGAAGCCTAGTGCGCAGTACACTCTCGTACTTCCTTTAATCATCACCAAGCATAGCCTCCAAGGTTGATGTGGACTGTCCTGCTTTGTTTTTCTGCTGTATTTTCTCTCTGTTTAGAGGAGGAAGGGGCTGCTCCTCTCACACACAGTCAGTTGTGTGTTTACACATTGTACTTGTAATGCTAATGCTTGTGGTGTGAATACGGACAGTTAACCAATCACCAGCGACTGCTCTGCACACATGCATCTTCCCCTGCACAGTCCTGGTACTACAATACTACTGTACCTCCTAAGAGGTGCTGGAATTTAGCTCCCAGAACACACCTCCAAAGCAGGTGCACTATAGTGGAAACAAGCGCAGAACCCGTGACAAATGTTTTTCTGCATGACGCGTTTCGGGGTGGGTTCCTAAGATGGAAAAACCCTTTTAGTGTTTTAGTTAGTGTTTCAACCTCTTAAACAAACAGATAACTCTAAAAGCAGAAGCAACATTTAGGGCTTACCTTATCCTTTGAAGATCAGGTTCAATTTGTTTCCCCCTCTACAGCTTCTTATTTTATGCACATTCCGCCTTTGTCATAACAAGATGCATCTACAGGAGTTTTGAAAAGTAGGATGAAGGACTACAGGGGCGCATTTTCAGCAAAAGTAAAGACAAAAATAAAACTTTAACTCATTTTTTGTGCACATACAATTTTTATCTATACTTCCAGTTACAGGCTAAGTCATCATGGGTACAAATGAGTTTTTTTTTTTTTTATTTTCTTAGCAAACAGTTGTTGAAAGGATTTAAATCAAACAGTTACGAAAGGACAGGAATAACATTTGTTAGCTGATGTTTTTTTCTCCTTTTGACCTCACTTTGCACTCAAGTGGCTCTAGTTCTCTGTGTTTGTCTTTCTCTTACTTGTTAAGAGGACTCAGAGAAATGGGGGAATAGCATTAAGGGGGTTTGTTCTCTTCCCCTGCTGTTTTTCAGCCACACTTCGCAGGCCTCAGGTTTACAGACTAATCCGATTAGAAGCCGGGGTGAAGCAGTCGGCTGCAGATGAAGAAGAAAGATGAACTCTTTAATTGTTTTGGGCTCCACTTCTCTCTCTTCCTCTCTCTTTCACACGCACACACACACACACACACACACACACACACACACACACACAGCTGTGCAGAAACAAAAGGCTGAAATATCCTGTGATGTCTCAGGCCATTGTATTTTAGGTAAAACATCATTTGAACTTTTCTTAGTTCACATTCCTCTCTTATGATGCTACTGCGTGTGTGTGACAGTGAAGTGTTATATTGAGAGGTAGAGTCAAAGTTAGACTTAGGTTAGGTGGCATCACTATATCATTTGAGACTTTATTTGTTGTTTTCTTTTTTACACAATAATCCTGTTTGTTGCAGGTTACAGTGCGACTGCCAGCACAACACCTGTGGTGTGTCCTGTGACCAGTGTTGCCCTGGATACAACCAGTTACCATGGAAACCAGCCAATACCTATAGCGCCAATGAGTGTGAACGTGAGTACAGCGTCACACTAGGCACACATATAGATGTTCCCATGCATACACACACACACACACACACACACACACACACACACACACACACACACACATACACCCTTGCTGTTATCACTTACAGGGTCCCTACATAGACTTACCTTCATTTCCAGGAGACTTACCCTAACCTTAACCAGAACTGCCACTTGACTAACCTTGACCCTTACCCTAATACTTAACCAAAGCCTACATGTTCTAACCTGACACACTGACAATTTTTGTAAAATTCAGTGAATTACTTGCAGGGCCTAGCCTCCATTTCCCGCAAAGCTGTGTGCCTAGTTATATATGATTTTTGTGTATTAGTGATGTGCTGGATATACGCTTACTCCAAAAAGAATTAATAGTTGCCTTCCAAAACAGAAATGATTTTCACATGAAAAGTCAGTTCTTCAGTCAGCAATGGTGCATTAATTACATTTATTAAAATATTACAATTACTATGTATATAAAAATATTATTATACTAATAAAAGTGTTACTTTCACCGTAACTGTCAATAAAAAGTAGACATCAGGTTTCGTACATTTATGGAACTCAGTTCTGTGATGATAATCATTTGCAGAACAAGTTTAATTACTTCTATTCTCCTTTCATATTTCTGTTTTTACAAACTCCCAATTATTTTTAATGTGAAGATAATGTTTTATCTGCTTTTTCCATTCATGTTTCCTGATACATACTCTATGGCTCTTAAAAATACACAAAGTGAACTCAAGATTTCTGAATACAGTATGGATGGAGACAGATAAAGAGAGAGTAATTAATTAATCTCCAAAAGGACATTCTGGTGTTACACTAGGAAAAACAAGTAAATTAAGTAAATTTACCAAGTAGGTTTAAATGCCATATAATATATAAATACATTGAATAAAATAAAAATAAAGGAGAAAAGGAGCCTGAAGAGTAATATAGACTAACAGTGGAAATCTGGTAGGGCACTGCTAGTGTGTGCATTTATTTTCTCTGGTGACAAACTGAAAGAACGTTGACAGTGTTGCAGAAAGTGAAATGTGGTTGAAATCTCCTGAAATGATTATGAAAGCATTTGGACATTAAAGATGTCCCATACAACACTGATAATGGCACATATGAACACCTTCTGCACGCAATATGGACACATCCTCGTGGCTAGCAGCTCGGTGTCTGGGTTACAGGGACACGCCACAATAGTTTTTTCTAAGCCTAACCAAGTAGTTTGTGTGACAAAATGTAATGAATCTGTGACTGTTTCATAGTTTTCACTGCTGTTTATGACACTCTTCATGACTGGAGTTTTGGTATGCTAACCTTCATGTTCATGGCCGTTGTCATGCTGAAGAACATCTCTAAAACTTGCTGGTACAACATACTGTTAATGTTGGCAAAGTTGTTGCAACGCTGCCCACCAACATAGGAGCACTATGGAAACTCTCCTATGGGTCATGTGAGAGGGAAGGGACAAATGACCTACAGTGAGGAACAGAAGTATTTGAACACCCTGCGATTTTGCAAGTTCTCCCATTTTGCAAGTTCTCCCACTTAGAAATCATGGAGGGGTCTGAAATTCACATTGTAGGTTCATTCCCACTCTGAGAGACAGAATTAAAAAAAAATTTCAGGAAATCACATTGTATGATTTTTAAAGAATTTATTTGTCTTGCACTGCTGAACATAAGTATTTGAACACCTGAGAAAATCAGTGTTAATATTTGGTACAGAAACCTTTGTTTGCAATTACAGAGGTCAAACGTTTCCTGTAGTTCTTGGCCAGGTTTGCACACACTGCAACAGGGGTTTTGGCCCACTCCTCCACACAGATCATGGAGTTTAAGCTCCCTCCAAAGATGTTCTATTGGATTGAGGTCTGGAGACGCTAGGCCATTCCAGAACCTTGATATGCTTCTTACGGAGCCACTCCTTGGTTATCCTGGCTGTGTGCTTTGGGTCGTTGTCATGTTGGAAGACCCAGCCACAACCCATCTTCAATGCTCTGACTGAGGGAAGGAGGTTGTTGCTCAAAATCTCACAATAAATGGCCCCATTCATCCTCTCCTTAATGCAGTGCAGACCTCCTGTCCCTTTCACAGAAAAGCACCCCCAAAGCATGATGTTACCACCCCCATGCTTCACAGTAGGGATGGTGTTCTTGGGATGCAACTCATCCTTCTTTTTCCTCCAAACACGACAAGTGAAGTTTAGACCAAAAAGTTCTACTTTGGTCTCATCTGACCACATGACTTTCTCCCATGCCTCCTCTGGATCATCCAGATGGTCTTTGGCAAACTTCAGACGGGCCTGGACATGTGATGACTTGAGCAGGGGAACCTTCCGTGCAATGCATGATTTGAAACCATGACGGCGTAGTGTTCTACCGACAGTGACCTTTGAAACTGTGGTCCCAGCTCTCTTCATGTCATTGACCAGCTCCTCCCTTGTAGTTCTGGGCTGATTCCTCACCTTTCTTATCATCAGTGATACCCCACGAGGTGAGATCTTGCATGGCGCCCCAGTCCGAGGGAGACTGACAGTCGCCTTTAGCCTCTTCCATTTTCTAACTATTGCTCCAACAGTTGATCTATTTTCACCAAGCTGCTTGGCAATTGCCCCGTAGCCCTTTCCAGCCTTGTGGAGGACCACAATTTTGTCTCTGGTGTCTTTTGACAGCTCTTTGGTCTTGCCCATGGTAGTAGTTGGCGTCTGACTGACGGTGGGGTGGACAGGTGTCTTTAAAGAGCTCAGACAGGTGCTACTAATTTAGATTAATGAGTGGAGTAGAGGTGGACTTTTTCAAGGCACAGTAACAGGTCTTTGAGAGCCAGAATTCTTGCTGTTTCTCAGGTGTTCAAATACTTATGTTCAGCAGTGCTAGACAAATAAATTCTTTAAAAATCATACAATGTGATTTCCTGAAATTTTTTTTAAATTCTGTCTCTCAGAGTGGGAATGCACCTACAATGTCAATTTCAGACCCCTCCATGATTTCTAAGTGGGAGAACTTGCAAAATCACAGGGTGTTCAAATACTTCTGTTCCTCACTGTATATGAGTCTTCTACCATAGGTTGGAGGACTTGTTGCATGTTTCCTATAACCTTAGAAGGGAGAAAAAGGTTTATACTTTCTCTTCCTCACCTTTTGTTTCAGATTACCCACTGAAAGCTTTGGTTACGCCCTTAGACAATCACTGTGACTGTTTCCTGTTGGGGTGAATGTGGTTCTATTTACATGTGGGTCATGTGTTATCAAAGCTGCAGTTATATTTAACAAGCAACACAATATCAGAGTACGAATAGGGTAAGTAAAGGTCAACATGATATCAGCCAGACTATAGACAGTGGTATGTAGGCACTTGCAGTACTGCAGTGTTACTTCCAGTATTTAATTTCTCCTGCAGCCACAGTGAGACCACAGTGGATTAGAATCTGTATTAGGATTTTTCACCCCAGATATACAATATAGACTAAGCTCTACAAATTAATTATATTTGGACTATATAAAGATACTAGCACAGAAGTACAGGAGATATCCCCAGGGTCATATCTGAGCCTTTCTAAACACTGATGAAAGAAACAGCCTGTGATAAAATATTTGATCTGACAGAGATGAAAGGGCAGCTCTGGGAGCAGGACTTTGTCTGTCCACAAGATGAACCATTCTGTTCTGCTCTGTAGATCACAAAGGTTTTTTTAGATTTTTGTGTGTGTGTGTGTGTGTGTGTGTGTGTGTGTGTGTGTGTGTGGTTATTTCAAGAAAATAAGTCAGATGTGGCCAAGATCTGAGAAAACCACTCCCCACTATCAGACTGGAGCCAGAGCCAGAGTAGTGCTGGTTTATTCAGCTGGCACCTTTCAGGTGCTGAGGGTCAGATAAGAACACAAAGCTCTATTAGGGTTTCACTGACTCAGTATGCAGTGTAAAGCTTGGTCTGACATTTGTGCATACTGTTTGTACTCCTTAAGTATGCAGATATGTTGTGTTTATCTTATAATAAACTGAGACAGGTATGGACTTATGAGTACATGTACAATGCTAAGGTCAAGTTTGGGCCGTTGACTTCCAGTCCTATTTATTCATACAGGATAATCAAAGAGAAAGACATCAGCTACACAAATGTGAAGTCATTTTCTTGTCATCCTTACTGGTCACCACAGACAACAAGACTCTAGGCAGTCATATGCCTCCTCAACAATTTGTCCAGTAGTTAGTTTACGCTTTCTGTACTTCTTGCCCGGTGCATTTTGGGATAGGCACCAGCCTCTCACCATCATGAAACAGCATGAGCAGTTTTAGAAGAAGTGGGGAAAGATTGATATTTAAGCTTTGATTAATTGAATTTTCAGATTTATAGGAGTGATTGTATTAATTTGTTTCTGTAGCACCTCAAAGTACATGATGTCCTCTGAGTTTTTACATATGTACAGGGGGACGGTTCTTTGATAGACTAGTGGTTAGGGCCATAGTTCTGAATGTTAGTTACATAGATAAACACTGCTGTACTTAAAAATAACTGACTTTCTCATCTGCTTTCCTCTCAGATTTTCTGTCATGTTTCCTGTGGTCATTCTCATTATTCCCCTTGCTCTCATTTCTCTTCTTTTCTCCTGGCTGGTGGCAGTTTTTACCTCTCAGGTGAACATCATTACAGAAAGCAGTGCTGCCTGGGTTTGTGAGCATTTTTGCAACTGTGAATTTGTGTGTTTTGTTAATTGCATTACTTATGGAACGATCCAAGAGGTTGGATACTGTTTAGTTAATAATGTCATATAAAAGATTATTTACTTTTTATTTCCTTCACCTAGTTCACTTTTGTATTTGTTTTAGCATGTAATTGCCACCGCCATTCGTTTGACTGTTATTACGACCCTGAAGTTGATCGGAGGAGAGGCAGCATCGATGTCCATGGACACCACAGAGGAGGAGGGGTCTGCCTCAACTGTCAGGTAACTAGAGTAACACTCTGATCTGTTGTACTTCTCTAATGCTGCCTTAAATAATCATCTGTTCTGACTGTAGTCTGAGTCTAATTAGGATATATTGTGGAGATGACTGTGATGGAAACAATTCCTTTTCAGCACCACACCACTGGAGTCAACTGTGAGCGCTGTGTCTCCACCTACTACAGGTCACCTGACCACTCAGTAGACTCCCCATTGGCCTGCTCACGTGAGTGACATAAATTGGGGTATTTCCTTTATTGACATGATCAAATGTAAAGCTAATATATCCACCATTAACTGCCTTTTCTGTTTGCTGTGTTTTTACTTGGTTCCTCCTTCCATATGTCTTGGTTGCTTTCTTTCCCATTGTTCTTCTATATGTCTCTCATCTGCAGTTAGTTCACAATTTTGCCGCTCACTTGTTAACAGGTACATGCAGACAAGACCATATCACTCCAATACTTGCGTCCCTGCACTCGCTGCCGGTCTGGTACCAGACTGGCTTTAAACTGCTGCTTTTTGCTTTTGAGGCCATAGCATGCTCTTACAGTATATCTCAGATGTGCTTCATCCCTAGAGAAAACATAGAGCGCTGAGATTGGCTAACCAGTTATTGTTAGAGGTACCGAGGGCCAAACCTAAACTGAGAGGCAAGCGAGCTTTTGCTTTTACAGACCTGAGACTTTGGGACAGCCTGCTATTAGGTCTGCCACCACCCTGTCAATTTTGATTTCTCGACTGAAAACTGATTTCTTCTCATTGTCGTTTAAGGTGACTTAACCATTACTGGACTTGTTTGTTTTAGCATTTTACTTGCTTGTAGGTTAATTTAATCACTCTCAGTCTGTTTACTTTTAGGTGTGTGAGCTGTTGTGCCTGTTTCTGATATTTTAATTGTTAAGCACTTTGTAACCTTGGTTTGTCAAAGTGCTAGTCTATATAAATAAAATTAGCTTAGCTCTCCTCCTCTTCCTCTGCTTCTCTGCAGCCTGCAACTGTCAGTCAGAGTTTACAGATGGCAACTGTGAGGATCTGACCGGTCGCTGTTTCTGCAAACCAAACTACACAGGGGAATACTGTGACTCCTGTGCCAGCGGCTTCATGAACTTTCCCGACTGTTACCGTAAGTCACAGTAACAGAAACACCTCAAAGAAGTCTTTAGTTTGGTTTCCAGAGAGACTGGCCTTGAAGTGTTTAAGAAGCAGTAATGAACAAAATCTTATCCAAAACAAAATTGAGAATAAAACCTTGGAAAAAAGATTAGAAAAATAATTTCTTGTAAATTTAAATACAACTATTGCTTGTAAAATTGTTTCTAAGCTCCTTCTGTCTCTATCAGCCATTCCCATCTATCCCCCCACCACCAACAGTGAGGCCAAACCAGCGGGGGATTTCATCAGTAAGGCTTTAAGTTCTATATTTCTTTTCTCCTCAAGTGTCCTCAAAATTTTATTTTAATATTTTTGTGTGTTGTCTTGTCGGTGCTTCTGGATCCCAAACAGGCTGATTTAAGATTTTGGCTTTCTTATCTACACCATTACAACATTTTTGAGAATAAATGTTATTAGTAAATTAAGCATTAAGAGGAGTTCAGAATGGGTTCAGTTCACAGAAATAATGTTTTCAAGAGAATTTCATTGCAGAAATACACAAAGAAGTTAGTTCCACTATTAAAAAATACAAATATACTTAATGAGAAGTTAACAATAAAATGAAAGACATGGAAATCAGAAACAAGCACCTGACCTTGACTCCTCCTGGCATAATGCATCTGCATGTTCTCATATTCTCCTATCACCTGACAGCTGTTTTGGGTTTAAGTAAGATGTTTGGGAAAGTTCCCTGTGTTGTGGCTGGATGATAGTATGGACCAAAACCTCATTCAGTGCAGACTCACAGAAGCATGTTAGTGTTTTCTCCCTGTTGTGACACTTCTTATATCAGCGTGTTTATGTTTTGTTTATGATAAATCTAACCTGGGAATCAGAAGAGAGATTTGTTCTCATTATTGGGAATTAGTTGAACTGAATTTTTTTCCATCACTCGTTCACCTTATCAAACATTAAATAAGTTTTGAAGAAAAAACCATGACTGACAAACAGTCACATCCAGCAAACATGTTTCTGTTCTCTGAACAGACTGTGAGTGCAATGCAGCAGGGACTGTGGATAACTCGTGTAGGTCCGATCCCCGGACTCGAACCTGCATCTGTAAACCAGGTTTCACCGGTGACCCCTGTGATGCCTGTGCTCCAGGCTTCTATGGACCCAACTGTCAGGGTGAGAGATGGATCTATGGATAGATAAAAAGATAAACAGATAAACTGTTGTTGTCTTTATTGATAAATCAGGTTGCAGAACATTTTATGGCACAAGGAAAAATGAAATGTAACTAAAACATCAACACATTTGTATTTGATGTTTTAGTTACATTTTAACTGCTGATAATTTGGAATACGGTAGTTCTCATGTTCTCACAAAAAACCAGAGACAATATCTGGCTAAATAACTTCAGATTTTTGCCTCTAAATGAAGTGTGAATACTGAATTTATTATAGTTTCACCACTTAAAGCCATCAAGTCAAGCAAACTGCACAGTGAGTTGTAACTGAGGAGTGTGTTCAAACTACCAGACAGCAGAATTTGCTGCCTTTTCGTGTTCTATACATGTGTAGTGTTTAGGGTGGCCCTTCTGTTAGACACATGCATGCTCAGACAAAAATACAAATACACAAACAGAGCCACTTTATTTACATTTGTTTATCTAGTGTTGCCACCCAGGGGTAAGCTCTCGCAGACACACACACACACTCCTGAGTAAACAGCATTCTACACTACCAAACTGTTTAGTTCTTTCCTTCGACTCTTCAGTCAGCAAAGCTAGTGAACACAAACCCAGTCAGCTCTAAAATACTTAAACCAAATGCAAAACAAACACACTCACACAAACTGAACACTATTGTTTTCGCTCTTTGTCTTTTCATCTTTAAGGCGTGTTATTTATTGGCCTGTGTGGCTGTTTATATAACTGTGTGTGTGTGTGTGTGTCCATCTGTCTGTCCAGCCTGTCAGTGTTCAGGTCCTGGCTGTCTGGACGGGTCATGTGACTTCGTGACCGGTCATGGTGTGTGTCGGAGAGGTTTCCAAGGTTACCAGTGTGACCAGTGTGCGCCAGGTTACTTCAGCTACCCACTCTGCCAGCGTGAGTTACTTTTAGTACCTCTTTCATTGTATTTCTGTCTCCATCTCTCTCTCTCTCTGAGTCTGGACACTTTTCCACAGATGGTGGTAAAAAACTGTAAAAAAACAAACTGTTCTGTAAATGTGTTCACTGCCAGCTAAGAGCTTCATGAGTTAGACTCTGCTAGTAGTTGATGAAAAGCTGACATCATGACATAGTCAACAGCAAAAATGATATTAGCCTCACTCTTAAGTCTGTATATACACCACTGTCATACTTGTGCATTAAATATGGAACTTGAGAGTGAACATGGTTAGCCTAGCATGCTACAGCATAAAGATACGCAGATTTTCTGTGGAGTTCCAAAATATTTACATCTGCCAGCAGTTGTAAAGCTCTGTAATCAACATGATGCATTTTGTTTGTTCAAAAACAAACAAAGGGGCTCAGGGGTAGAGCAGGTTGACCTTTGGCCCCAGGGGTTGATGGTTTGATTCCCGTTTTCCCCAGTCCACATGTCTTTGGGCAAGACACTGAACCCTAAGTTGCTCCCGGTGGCCAGTCTAGCACTTTGCAAGGCAGCTCCACTGCCGTCAGTGTGTGCGTGCATGCGTGGATGGGTGAATCCTTAAAGCATTTTGTCCAGGAAAGGTAGTCAGTTATGGTCATAGAGGGTTTCGTTCCTTCCATAAGGCACTGTGTCCAGCTACTTTTTTGCCAAGAATTAGTTTCAGCACCCAGTTTTAAAACCACAAGGTGCCATTTTGGCATGGTAAATGGACTGCTCTTATATAGCACAATAGTACACACAATAGCCAGGGATGCTGCACATAAGTACAAATAACTGTTTTCACAGCTCCTACTTTGGCTAACACTCAAAGAGAATCAGCATATTTCCCAAAATGTGCCCAACAAGTTGGTCACCTAACTGCTCACCTAACCTCAGGCCAGCACAGAGAGCATCACTTTCTCTCTAAGGGAAAACTGAAGCCCACACACCACTTCCTTTTACATAAGATGCTTGCTGTCCGCCAGCTGATGCGCATATTAAGATCAGATCACAATACGAAAACAACTTTGACAACAAGCAAAAGCTCTTGAACAGTTGTCACTGTCCAGCTGACACATGCAAAAACCACTGCTTAATACCAGTCTCACCTTCCAAACAAACAAAAAACAGCAGGGTCACTTTGAATAGACCATTCTTTATTAAAAACAGGCAATCTGATGGTGATGTTTGGTGTACAGCCAAAGCCTGCTTACTTCAAAATAACAGACACTCTCTCTCTCTCTCTCTCTCCCCCTCCAGTGTGTGGTTGCAGTTCAGTCGGTTCTCTCCCTGAACGCTGTGATGCTTATGGTCACTGTCTGTGTAAACCTGAGTTTCAGGGTCCGCGATGTGAACAGTGTAAATCTGGATTCCACTCCTACCCTAACTGTCAAGGTACACATTAAAATCACACACTCAGTGTGACGATGTGTGATTAAATGCACACAAATGTACTCACATTGTCACATGGAGAGACACGCATGCTAACACTTAACTTTCCACACCTTCTTATGAAGGTTTTAGGAGCTGTTATTGAGGTTACTGTGAAGAATGAATAGCAGGAAAGGACAAGGTTTTTAAGAAAAGGACACTCTGCCTCTGTAAAGTACAGGATATATTGGTGGTTAGAGGGTTGTTATTTTGAATCCCTGGACTTGGTTTTAAAAGAAACAATGCATTCTGGTCTCTTGGGGCGGCTGTGGCTCAGGAGGTAGAGCAGGTCGTCTCCTAACCAGAGGGTTAGCAGTTTGATTCCTAGCTTGTCCAGTCAACATGTCCTTGAGCAAGTCACTGAACCCCCAGTTGCTCCCAGTGATGACATCAGTGTGTGAATGCGTGAACTCCGTTTGAGAGTGCAAATGGGTGAATGGCCAAGTAGGGTGAAAGCGCTTTGAGTGTGTTCTAAAGCATAGAAAAGCGCTATACAAGTATAAGACCATTTGCCATTTGTCCCACAGCCAGAACTTTATAACTACCTCATTTCATTTAAATCCTGAAACTTAGCAGACCAGCTGAGATAAAGCTGAAGAGAAGTGAAATATTTCCCTTGCGTGTCAAGTTAATACTCTGATTCTGTTACATGTAGGGCAGGCTGTGCTAGTGTGTTCTCAATGATACATACATACATACATTTTTTACATTAAAGGAACCTGAGTAACGTGCATCACAGGTTCTGCATTTGTTTCTACTGTGCGCCCACTTTGGAGGTGCGTTCCGGGAGCTAAATTTAAGCACCCTCAGGTGCATCTCAAAGGAACAGAAGATGGATTCAAGCAAGATCAGAATCAGGCCAGGAGTAAACAATATGTGTATATATATATATATATATATATATATATATACACATACATATACACAAACACAGTCTAGGTGCATTCAGCAGATCTAATATATGTACAATGTATATTTACCGGTATTTCTCTGAGGGTTGTTGTCCAGTCATTGTAGTGATTCTTGCGAGAGATGAATCATGTATTTACCACAGAACTGTTCCTAGCAAAATATCAACTTGATAACACTGTCTTTTTTAGTTTTACAGTCACATCTTTTTTTTGTCAGTGTGCACCTGTGACCCTCGCACCGCAGTGGACAGCAGCTGTACTGCGTCAGGTCACTGCCACTGCCGACCCAATTACAGTGGAGCGTCATGTGACCAGTGTGCTCCTGGTTACTATGGTTACCCGAGCTGCACACGTAAGTAGCTGAACTTTGCTGATGCCTAAAATACCAGCCTGGTGTATGCACAGAGAGGTCAAAATAATAGAAATATTGTTGTTGTATTAACTCTAATCTTTTGATGCTGATATGTGATGCTTACTGGCAGAGATGGTGGAAGCATATTTACTCAAAATATTGTACTATGTACCCAAGTACAAGTACTTTGACGTACTTGTACTTGGGTATTTCAGTTTTCTGCTACTTCCTGTTCCTGCTCCACCTAATTTCAGAGGGAAATCTGGTGTTGTTGTAAGATCAACTTACAAACAAACTTACAACAAAATTGACAGTTTATTTGTTTGTAATACATAGTTTATATGTCTGGCTAATGTTGTTTGTAGAGGATGTGTTTACTTAGTCATGTCTGTTTTGATGAGGAGCTAGTCATCTAAGCTACTTCAGCTTTTAGGTTGCATCATGGGGGCAATGGGGATTTTGAACCGCACCTAACATTTGAAACAGAAATTAGAGGATGAAAGGTTTGGTAAGTTAGTTCACAGATAAGGATGTTAGTGTTTGTGTTGTGTTGGCCTCTTCTGTCTGGATGCGGTCTGACATTTGGCTGCCGAGAGCACCTCCATGGCTGGCTGTTCACAATGATGATATGCAGTTTGAAAAGCTTCTTATAACCTGCAGGCAGGGCTAACTTACAGAACATATTTTGAAAACAAAAGGTAGAGAAGCTGGAATAACAACAAAGGAGCTGTAGCTAGCAGAGTGTATTAAGCAGTGTGTCAAATGTTAGTTAACACACCTTTAAATGCGGGACTTTTACTTGTAAGCAAGTATTTTCATACTGTAGTATTGATATTTTTTAAGGACCTGATTACTTTTTCTAACACTGACTGTAACTAGAGATTAAGATCAAGATTAAAGATTTTTATTGTCAATTCACTATATGTGCAGGACATACAGATGCTGATGGCTCTGCGGGTGAGGTCGGGTGTTAAAGATGTCTGTAAGGGAAGGCTCAGGGGCGGCAATGATCTTACTGGCTGTATTCACTATGCGTTGCAGAGTCCTTCTGCAGGAGGCAGTACAGGCTCCGTACCACACAGTGATGCAGCCAGTGATGATGCTCTCAATGGTCCCACGGTAGAAAGAGTGCATGATGGGGGGGTGGGACACTAGCTCTCCTCAGTTTGCAGAGGAAGTAGAGGCGTGTTTGAGCCTTCTTGGCCAGTGATGTGGTGTTAGTCTGTTGTCAGTCTATCTATCTCTACTATCAGTCAGTAGATAAAACCGATGAAGAACTGGAGTTGATAATTTGCTTCTTGCAGCCTGTCGGTGTTCTACAGAAGGCTCTCGCTACACCAGCTGTGACCAGGTGACAGGACAGTGTGTGTGTGTACCCAACGTGGTGGGACTGAGGTGTGACAGCTGTGCACACAGTTCCTACGGCTTTCCCAATTGCCAAGGTGATGACACACACACACACACACACACACACACACACACACACACACACACACACACAATTGTCTGTCTGTGTAACATAATGGGAGTCAGGTGTGACAGCTGCAGTTAATGTAACAAAGTGTACAGTACAAAGACACATGTTAAAGCATGTGCATGTTTTTCTATTTACAGCAGACTAGCTAATCAGTTTAGCTAGCTAAGCTAGCAAGCTTACTCCAGATTATGCCAACTAACTCACTCTATGGCTGTGTCCAAAATCACTCCTATTTACTATACTGTATAGTGCACTACATGGGTTCTGCAGTTGTTTTCACTGTGGTGTCCCACTGTGGTAAATTTCAGCACCTGAGAGGGGAGGGTGTGCGTGCAGGCGGAGCTGTGGTTAAATGTCCGTGTCTTTACACTCAAAGCATTAGTATTACAAGCACAGTGTTTAAACACACTCACTGGTATAGAGGTAAAATGAGGGCATCACTTTTTGGTTTAGGGGAAAGCAGTGGACTATGGGCCTCTCACTTCTCTTTGTTTTTTGTTTTGTTTTTTAAAATAAGCCCCTACCTCCTCTAAACAAATACTGACTCAGAGAAAATGCAGTGGAAAAACAAAGCAGGTTGCGTCAACCTGGGAGGTTATGCAGGGTGAAGTACAGGGTATACTGTTAGGTTCCGATAGTGAAAAAAGCAGCCTTAGTGTCTGAAACCTGACTTGAATTCATTCAGCATCACCAGTACCTCCTTTGCATAAGGTTGGATAAGACAACATTTCACCAGCATCAACAACTGCACTTCGTCTACTGCTTCTTTGTCACAAGGTGTCCCCCAAGGCTCAGTCCTTGGTCCCCTTCTGTTCACTGTCTATATGCTCTCCCATTGTTATATCATCAACCGTCATGGTCTCTGCTTCAACTACTATACTACTACTTGCTCTTCATCTACACCAAGTTCATTATCATTGTTACTATCTCCAGCTTAACAAACTGTCTCACTGATACTAAATCATTGATGAAAACCAGCTTTCTGAAACTGCACTGTGAAAACTCAAATGTGATAATCAGTGGTTCAAAAACTCTCACCAAATACATTCACAGCTTTTACCTCACCATTGACAACTCCATTCTGTCGCCTTCTCCTCTGCAACTTTGGAGCAGTTTTTGGAATAACTGTCCTTCTCTGCTGCTGATAACTCTGAGCCTTACTTTCATCCATACTGCAATAGCCTTTTCTATGGCACAACCCCTAAAGTCCTCTAAAATTTAAAGTCCGTCTCCTCAGTCACAAAGACGTCGACAACCAGGCCCCCTCCCACCTAACTGACCTACTATATCGCTACACTCCTGTCCCAGGCTTTAGCTCTTCTGAGGTCACCCTGCTGTCTCCGCCATCTGGGTCCAAGCACCGTACCTGAAGTGACAGGGCTTTTACTGCTCCCACCCTTTGGAGCTCCCTCCTCAGACACATTTGTGACTGCACTGATATGTCAAGAAATTAATCAAAACTCACCTTTTTAGAACTGAATTTAATGTCTGATAAATTGTCCTTTGTTTCTTCCTGCTTTTAAGATGGAGTCTTATTGTATTATTATCTTGCTCTGTAAAGTGTCTGTTATGTCATTTGATATGTTCATACTGTATATTAAATCAAAATGTAACAGAATTTTTTACAATTTAGTCAAAAAACAGCTATGTGGGCATGTAAACTCACACATCAACCTTAAAACCACCTAAGTGATGATTTTTGTTTGTTTTCTTTGACATTTAAAGCTGGTACCTGCCACCCTGCCGGCTCAGTCCAGCATGCGGTACAGCTACCTGTGGTAAGTCTTGTGTTAGTTAATTTAATTTTATTTTACAAATGAAATTTGGTAACATTTAATATATGTGAAACAGAGGTTTCAAATTTGAGATCAAAGCAGTGACCCAACAAAAAAAACATAACAGGACAGTGTGTCCGATCTTTTTTTTTTTCAGATTTTTTTTTGGCCGTGGAAATGTGTCAGAAACAATTTTACATAATTTTATTTTCATGTAGTCGTTCTTTCTGGCAAAATGTCATTCTTCTACTGTGGGAAATGGTCCATCTCCATTAGTTACTTCATGATGTATTTTGTCTTCTCCCCTGGAGTGTTAATACCCACTGTTCACAGATTCAGCTTCATGTTAAATTTTGGTCATTTTATAACACCATGCCAAATTATGCTAGAATTGAAAATGTTAAATGCAGAAAATACACTGTAACAGAGAGTCAGGTGGACTTTAGGAATGTTCGTAGTGGCACTGTTTAGGAATATTTTTAACTGTCAAAACAGACTCCTTCATTTATTTTCCCATTAATCATTCACTTAGGGCCAATGTGAATGCCGTCGCCATGTGGAGGGCCCAGCCTGTGACAAATGTAAACCTCTGTACTGGAATCTCTCCCCTGACACTCCTGATGGATGCTCCAGTAAGATATATTACTGCACAAAGCACACACACACACACACACACACACACACACACTGTGTTTTCATTCCTTGTGGGGACCAGAAGCTAGTCCCCACAAGGATGGCAAAGTCCCCACAGTGTGAGTGTGTTAACAGGTTTTGGTCCTCATGATGTAAGTAATACAAAGGCACACACACACACACATCTCTCACACTAGTCTAAGTCCAGTAAATGAGGTTTCTAACTGAGCTATCTTTGTGTCTGGTGTCTTTTTCAGGCTGTGAGTGTAACATTGCAGGGACTCTAAGTGGCATTGCAATGTGTGCACAGGTGAGCTCTTATCTTTAAAGTATAAGGTAATTCTAGTCTATAACAAAAGTGTTAATACTGTGTGTGATGCAGTTATAATAATTCCTTGTTTCTGACAGGAAACTGGTCAGTGCCACTGTAAGCCCAACGCCTGCAGTGGAGCTTGTACGACCTGCAAAGATGGCTACTACAAGCTGCAGGCACACAACTACTTCGGCTGCCAGGGTGAGTGTTTATCAGGACAAAGTTAGGATAACATTTTAACCCTTATGTGGCCTTAGGTGACTAGTGGTAACATTTGCCTTTTATTTTGCAAGTCATTTGGCTGTGTTGAATGAATGTAGCTCAAATTTGCTACAGGCTATTTATTTTTTAAAAACTTAAAAATTGTAGTGTAACTTCCTTAAATTTGCTTAAAATGGCTGAAAGAAAAAAATACTCACACATATGTACCTAGGGTACTGTTATGGACCATTGAAACCCATTAAAAATACTTTTTTTATGCCAAATACATCCTATTATGTCATATTTCAATGCCCTGAAGCAATACACCATTTTAAACTAGAGGGTCTCAAAATGCAATTTTAGTAGTTGACCACCAGATGGGGACATGAGCACATTTTGAAACCGTGCATGCAAATTCATCCAAATTTCACTATTTTTTCCATTGTTTTTACAAGGGTGAATTGCAGAAAGACTGAAAATGATAAAGTGTGCATCACTATTGTGTGTTATATCAATATGATTTGTGTGTGTGTGTGTGTCTGTTTGCATTCGCGTAAAAGTTTTAAAAGATTGGACAGTTTAAAGTGGAAGAAAATATGAATTTATGACATTTTTAGAGCTGTTTTTATAAGGGGTTACCAATTTGCATTTAGGTACACATGTGTGATTTTTTTTAAAGGAACTCCTAAGGGTTAAAGCCACTCTACATTTCCACTTAAAACAAAAGCTTGGGTGCTGTGATGCTGCTATCCTGTTTTTATTAACCTTGCTTTTACCTTTGTACATGTGTGTTCAGGCTGCCAGTGTGACATTGGAGGTTCGGTAGGTCAATCCTGTGAAGACAGGAACGGCCGCTGTCGCTGCAGACCCAACATAGATGGACCGAAATGTAACCAGTGAGTTTAACAGCAGCTAAACAAACAGGAACGGCAGCTACTGTACAATAGTTCATGTGCTCATAAACACCTATGAAATAAATTACGATGATATTGGGTTTAATTGCAACAATTAAACAATATAACTAGATCATTAGTGGTATTAATTATTCACACCAATTGCATTGTAGTGAGTTAAGACTATTCCCATAATTCCAGTTGCTAGACCATAAGCATGTAGACTGGAAGGCTACATGCTTTTTTTTCTGGTAATTAGTAATTATCCATACAGAGACATTTTTATGTCTCACATCTGCTAAAGACCATCCCTTCTTTAAAACTCAGCCCAGACTGTGATGTTTTCGCCTTAGCTCCTTTACTTTTTAAACGGATCTTACACTGTCTGCAGACCTCGTCCAGATCATTACTTCCCAGACCTCCACCATATGAAGTTTGAAATTGAGGAGGGAACCATGCTTGATGGCCGACCGGTGCGATTTGGCTATAACCCCCAGGAGTTCCCGGGCTTCAGCTGGAGAGGTTACGCTCAGATGTCCCCAATCCAGGTAGGAGCAGAATGTTTCACCTCTCACCTTTGACTGGATATGTCAAAACCTCCACCAACATTTATACAGTAGGTCAGAAAGGGATTAAAGATAAAAGTAGAGCTGCTTTTTGTGCAAATAAGAAACTCCAGTTGGAATGAAAGAAACTGTTTATTTACCAATGTTTATTATTAATGGAGTATTGATAATATATTTAGAGGCTCATTTCAGTACTCTAGGTGATCATGTTCCCTGTTATCTCACAGATCTGTTTTTACATGGAGCTTGTTTTATAAAATAACCACAGAAAAATGTGTGATGCTATTGTGAATGATGCAGCCTGTATTGTAGAGTACATACAGATAATAATGTGACTGTGGCCCATCTTGTATGATCCTCCTGCATGACATAGACTGCTTGCTCCATGGCTGAATGTTTTGTAGACATTTAAAGAGATATTTCTCTTTGGTAGAATTTCTTCCTTGCACATATACCTCCAAAGGAGTAGCTGTACCTCCACTGTAGTTTAAGATTTTATAGAATTTAACGTATTTCTCTGTGGATAGGATATTTGGCAGAACCTGAATTCCTAGTTCTGCAATTTAAAGTTTCTCTCATAGTTAATTTTGTTAATGACATTAAGAAATGTCCTTAAGTGGAATTTCAAGAAAAAACATTTTTGGAGGCTGAGTACGTCTCAGCTCCCATGGGTGTTTATGCTGATATGTTGAAATACAGAGAGAAATATGTTGGCTTGCATTTGGGGGTGAAGATTGATAATTTGTTTTTGGTGGTGTATGTGTTGGTATTACATCTTGCTTTTGATGTGGTTTGTCTGTCAGTGTGAGTTTCCTAAATTCTGTCTTTTTACTATCATTCTTTTGTTGTTTTTAATCCTCCATACAGCCATTTATATTTTTACATTGCTTTTATTCGTCTCCCCATTCCACTTTGTCTCCCCATCATTCCTCCCTCGCTCTACTTTAATTCCAACTTTACCTCTGTCCTCCCTTCCTTCCCAATGCTTCTCCCCCTCCTTCCTTGTGTTGCTGCTGCTGCTTTGCTTGCTGGTCCCATGGCAGTCTAAGGTTTTGGTGTCCGTGTCAGTAAGCTCTCCAGACCTCTTCCATGTGGTGCTGCGCTACGCCAACTGGGGGAGCTCAGATGTTCGGGGAAGGTTATCTGTGATAGAGGCCACCCAGAACTACTACTGTGGTAACTGTAAGTGCTGCATGGGGACTATAACAGTGCTGCTTGTTCTCTTTCTGCCCTTTTATCACTTGGAATAAGAGATGATGGAAGTGGAATGTCTTTTCCATCACTTCTTCTGTCTTTTCTCGCTGTTTGCATCCCTCATTTCAGTGCACTGCAGTTGAAGCTTATTTGACAACTGCATCTCCTCACTAATGGTCTGGTCGATTTCCATGCTTTGCCCTGGATTTAGGCTGTGTTCCAAATATATATGTATTTTTCAGATCAGAATTCCAACTGGGAAACTTTGGTTTTCTCTGAAAAATGTTGCAGTACTCATGAGTACTGGATGGATGTTTCAGTTTCTTATGAAATCAGAAAGAAAGTAACAAGCAACAAGGATAATGCAGCCTCAATAAGATAATTAACAATCAATTGAAGGGAAAATGAACTGAAATAAAGTGCAACAAAAAACCAGAGACCTTAGCAAAATAAAAAATTAACAGAACTAAAACTGCACTGGGAAAGCTGGTGATGTTCACTGTAGCATAGGAACACACAGGATTTTGGCACCAAGTTGGAGAGCAAGGGTCTGTTGTGAACGTACAGGTAGATAAACATAAAACACTGTAATACACAGTTTCTACTACACCTACTAGCTAACAGGTAACAATACCTGATAAATATGTGTGAGCTGTTGAACAGAGACTATTTTAATAAGCATGTTAGACTAATAAAGTCTTCTGTGCATCACTGCAGTGTTTGCAACTGTCTCACTAGATTTGGTGACTTTTAAGATCCTTTTAGCGACTTGTTTCCAAAAGAACAACTTGTTAAAAAAAAATTAAAAAAAGCCTAGTAACTTTTTTGAAGGTGAATAAGATGTGAATGTGTGTATCACTGATCCGCACAGTGTGTCTGGGGAACTTCTTCTCATTTGTGTTCAAAATAGTTAACTTTACTACTGAAGCCTGATTTTTCTCGAAATATAGAAAAGTGAGTTTACTCCAGTGTCTGACACTTCAGCTCTACAGTTGGTACAACAGCCTATAGTAAAAAGAAAAAAAAACACTAAGAAAGCTAGTTTGAGTCAGCTTGATTTTATTTTTCAACATGACTTTTTAAAAATTTTGTATAACCTACACTGTTTGGCAAATAGTTATGTAATGATGCCACACATATGCTAATTAGCTCTTGATGTCATTTGGCAGTATAGCGACTTGTCAGGCAGGCTTTAGCTACTTTCCATTAAAAGTAACGAATAGTATAACATTGATGTTTCCCCGTAGGATTTTCTGACCTGGACTTCATATAACATTTTTAAAACTAGATTTTGACTTATTGGAACACAACATTATTCCATTATGGAAATCGGCTTTCTCCTCCACGATGTGTGTGGTTGGTAGTGGTTTTGAGCGGCTGTTGGTGGTGGCCTCTGCTCTTGCTCATGCTCTCTCACTTTCAGGGCCACAGTTCAGTGCAGAGTTCAGGGATTTAACACTAAGGATTATTATCTTCTTCCCTCCACACTTTCTCTTCTTCCTGTCTTACTCCTTTCACCCACTGATCCCTTTGGACACTGCCTTTGTAGACTGCAGTGAAGCTTCAGGTTTATGTGAACGAGGCAGACGTCTATCTGACTCGTTTCATCCTCAGATATGTAAACTCTGAGAGCACCACCTCCAGCGGTAAAGTAACAGCCTATCAGGTCAACCGCAGAGGTAGGTCTCTACGAGACACTACAGCGTGTCAGTGTATGTTTTTATTGTGTGCTAGAAAAAACAGCTGTATGACAGGTTTGTTTGTGTTTTGGTGTAAACAAATCTCCTGCTTACTCTGCAATAGCATTTTTGTATTCTTATCAGATTTTATTGTAGTGACTTGCTCCATTGAGTGCTGTTAATTTACTGTTGAATGTTATGTAGTCCAATTTTCACTTTTTTTCCTCAAACAGTATTCACTTAATTTTGTTTTTTGAGTGATTAAAGTTTTAATATCCACTGCCATATCTCTCTGGTGTTTTGCTGTATGTTTTCTAGGTTCAGAACAGTCCAAACAGATAGTCTTTGCTCCCAGTGTGGAGCCGACTTTTGTAAATGTTCCCCAGAATAACTTTGTGGAGCCTTTCGTCCTGAACCCTGGAACCTGGACTGTAGTTATAGAGGCTGACGGCATCTTTCTGGTGAGACACACACTACACATCTGGATCTAGTTTTCTGATAACAGAGTGAGGGGTGTGAGTTTAAGAGCGCCCACAGCAGGGCAGGATTTAGTGATCTGAGGGTAGGAGGCAAAGCACCACACAGTAAAAATACTTGTCCTGAATTTGATTTTTTACATTTCAGTAATCACAGTGTAGTCTAGTCATTTATTCAAAACAATGCTGTTACACTTTCCTTCTCAGACATATGAGAAAAATCAAGCAAAGTTAATTATGTTCTTAAAATTAGATTTTCCTCTTAAAAATAAAACAAACCCATAAGATTACTGTTAAAATATCTGATTATTAAAGAAAAAATGTTTTTTTTGAGATACTGAACAAAATGGATGTTTATATCCACCAAAAGCTCTACAACTTGTCATCACAGTTGACAAAATGAGTTTAGGCTTTCACTGTGCTATATACACTGCATACTGTATGTTTATTGTTTATATACCCAATAACACTGTATTCATGCTCTATTTTACCCTCAGGATTATTTAGTCCTGCTGCCCAGCGCCTACTATGAAGCTCCTATCCTGCAGATTAGACTTACAGAGCCCTGCACCTACAACGCTCTACCTGACACCAACCAGAAGTAAATATACACACATATTTTTAACATACAGGAATAGGTATTTTGGGAAGTCCCCTTGTCTGCTTGAAAAACACTACTGATGTCTGTACAGTCATTTTCAGGCTAGAGAGCAGTTACTATTCTGTAGCTAGCTTGGCACAGACAGCTAGCCAGCTAGCCTGGCTCTGTCCAAAGCCAGAACGTTTAAAAACAAGTTACTGTGGCAGACTGACTTCCTGCCTGGCAATCTCACAGCAAGGAAGTCACTGCACCGGGCAAGAGGCAGCCTGGCACATAACCAGGTTTTTACACTTTTGTTTTGTACACATTAACCATGATGTGAACAGATTTTGTTACCTTTGGCATGTGCAGATTATGAGACAATGGGCCACTGGGTGCAGACATGGAAATTGCACCTACCTCTCCTACACTTCTAGAGCAAGACTCACCTATTGAGCAACCACATGATTTGTATGCAGTTTGTGTCTCTCTGGGGTTGTTTCGTGTCCCTTTGTAGTTTTGTATCTGTTCTTAGCCATTTTGTGAAAACCTTTACTTGTTTTATATCTCCTTGTAGTTGTTTTGCAGCTGTTTGGAGTTGTCTTTATAGTAGTTGAATTGACTTTCCAGTGTGAAGGTTAATGCTCTCTTCATGGTTCTCTGGTCTAGGGCCTCCCTGATCCCTTGAGCCCCTGTGCCTGGTAGGCCCAATCAGTAATCCATCATGCCTTTGGACAGAGCCCGGATAAATAGTTTTTTTGTTTGTTTGTTTGTTTTTGTTTTACATTGTTATGCTAACCAGCCAATAGCTATATTGTTATATTTTTAGATTTTGCATATCCTTCTCCAACTCTTATCAGGCAGGAGAGTAGGTCCATGTGCCAAGGTGTCAAACCATGCCTTTAAATTAGCTAATCAATTAGTAGAAGGAAATTGCAGACCATTATCCAAAGAAGGCTTTCTTCAGAAACGTAGATAGTACACTGGAAACCTTCCCTGTAATGTGTAAACAGCAGGTATATGTCCCAAACTGTGAAACTCACCTTCCTACCCTCTTGGGAACAGTCAGTGCTTCTACTGTGTCTTTGTTAAGATGCATGGTCCTAAATACATGAAAATAAAATGTTGGAAACAACCATGGTTTGTCTGTCTGTCCTCTCTGTGCCCTCTCTGTCTGTGCCTGTAGCTGTCTGCTGTATAGGTATCTCTCTCTGGACTCCTTCCCTTCCATCTCTGGCAATGATGCCAGCTGTCGCAGCGATAACCACCTGCCGCGCCCCTGCCCAACTGAGAAGGTCACCCCCCGCCATCCCGACATGGCTGTCTGCAGTGGCAACGATGTAAGAGCAGAAAAGGGAGAGAGAGTTAAAAATCCTTTGTATAGTATGTGTACTGGTTTTGTGAGAGGCAGAAGACGCATCAGAGGAGAAGAAGGAGTGACAACACATCAAAACTACAGCATGAGTAGAGGTGTAATTAATACATTTTCCATTTCGACTGCAGATCAGCATTGAGCTGCGAGCTGTGGGTCTGTCGGCTCCAGGTGACTACGTTCTGGTGGTGGAGTATGCCAGTGAGGAAGAACTGCCCCAAACTCTGTCTGTATCCGTTAATATGCCAGGAGCACGAGCACATCAGCATCTTGTCACCCTACTGCACTGCAAGTACAGGTACACAGAAGATCTGTCCTGAAGTCCAGAGCTGTTTCGCTGCTCTACGTGACTCAGGGGTTTGAGAAATGTGAGATCTGTGGTCTGGTAGGTTTCTGCATGAAACTGTTTGTTAAGGAGACAAAACAGAAGTTCTGTCATACTGTGTGGAGTCACATTTATCCTATTTCAAGCCATCACCACAAGGAGAAGACTCCAGACCTCCGACTTGATTTATGGATTAATCTGTGTGTAGCTGTGCTTGTCATGAGAGAAGACATTCTAGAGGATTATAAAATGGGAGACTATTATGCAGAATTTTTTTTTTTTTACGTTATGGTGGGCTTCAGAACAGTAGTCCTTACTCAGAGTAACAATAGAGAAAAGGTATTTCATTTTATTGAAAAGGCAATTATATAAGAACATACACACACAAACTAAACTGGCACTTAGGTTTCATTAAAAATGTATTAAAAACTTTACATAAGACTAAATGTCCAGCTGTGCTTAATGAAGTGGGTTGTGCCACCTTCTACCTCACAACCTTCTATTTACACTCACTGACCACTTGATTAGATCCACCTGTACAACTGTGTCCACTTCAGTGCAACACTTCCCCCTGAACATCTGGGTTTATGAAGCTCAGAATGGTTCCATTTTTGGTGAAACTGTCATAAATGCATAAAATCAGTTATGTGTTTATTATTGAGGTCGTAGTTGAAGGTAGTGTTGTACTGGACTACATTATATTCAGAGGTGTCTCTACATTTTGTCCTCCCCAGCTACATACATGAGAGGTTCAGAATATTAGGAACACCTCTGAATATAATGTAGTTGAAAGCAGAAATAAAATATTCCTTGTCTTGTATACCTGAAGCTATTGCACATGCATGGAACACACTCAAATGCTTGTTACAAACAATTTGAAAGCAAACTCTCCACAACCGTGTCAGTCATCATATTACAGCCCCAGCTGCTGAAAATGAATAAATACCTAAGGATGCAATGATATTTGCCACACTTTCCATGGGTGAAGGTGTCAGGCAGGATTCAGTATTTAATGTGGCTGTGGTGAAATGATTTTGTTTTTATTTCACTTTTTGCCCTTATTAACAGTTGATAGATCCAGTTTTGTGTTAGACTACATGGCCATTTGTCCACCAGAAGGCAGAAATTTCTCCTTTACCACAGTCTATGGGCCGGGCTGGTTCACGGTGTACTGTTACTGTCAGTGCTTCATCATGTAGGTCAACAGTTCTTAATCACTGTGTGTGTTTGCGTAGCTTCCTGTGTCGAGTTGTGGCCACTGATAAACACAACAGAGTGGCTGTCTTCTCTCTGCCTGCTGACACCGAGGTCCAGCTCATCTCTGACCGGGCCAGCTTCTTCCTGGTGAGAACTACAGCCACATCACATAATGAGCTCACTTTGCATATGTTGTAGTCCTGGGAGATTCTGTGTGTTTAGACAATGTAGAGTATAAATCAGATTTTCACAATATCAGTGTTTGGAAAGGGTTTTTCATATATTAAACAGACAAAGAAATGTTTTTCTGTCCCTCTTTATTTCGTAAATTTGAATTTCAGTTCTGAACCATGATGACCACAATGACTACATCATAATGACTACCTCAACAGTTGCCACAAAAGCTTGTACTGTCTCAGCTGTAGATTTTGAATCTATTTTCTAAATAACTCATTTATCTGTGTTTCTTCATTGTCTGCAGCACAAAGTATACTTGGTACCTGAAGACCAGTTCACCATGGAATATGTGGAACCTAGAGTCTACTGCATCAGCACTCAGGGACGGTTCTCACCTGACAGGTAAAGGAACACACTACAAATGTGCATATCTTAAAACCTCACATACTTAACAAAACCCTTTCTGAAGCATCATCCCTGTGCCTCTCTCTTGCCCCAGTTCCTCCTGTGTCCCCTCACGCTTCCAGACCCCATCAGAATCACTGGTCCTGAAGGAAGGCCAGAGCTCGACCATGCAGGAGCCCATCCTGGCCTCCCCTGCAGCAGCCACTCCTCCGCCCTTCATCCACGGACATGAGTCGGCCTGGAGCAGAGCAGAGCAACCTCCCCATGGAACAGATAACAGCCCGCACATCAGGCTGGACTCACTGCAGGTAACGATGCTGATAGACGGTGACAGTTACAGTAGTTACTTTGGGACAGACCTGCCAGTGCAGCAGGTGTTAATGAACACATTGGACTGGACATGTGATTTCATTTTTGAATCTCTTGCATGCATGTTTACACTGTGTTTGAAGCTGAGATTTTACTGCTTTTAAGTCAGTTTGGTTAATGATGGGCATGAACTATTCTGATATATTTGGGAGGTGAGATTGAGCTGCATCATGCTACTTTATACTTTACTGTATTTCAAACAGAACTTTACAACACATTGAGAGCACCAGAGTCAGATTTCTGCATGTTCAAACATACAGTACTTGGCAATTAAAGACTATTCTGACTGTGATTAAGGAACCTGGAGGTACAGGTCTCAGCCTTCCTCTAAAGTAACCCTAATGCTTTTCATTAGGAGTGCAGATGAAATCTGAACCACCTGTAGGGAATACTAAAACTACATTCAAGGGTTTATGAGTATAAAGAGACTTATTATACTCAACAGATGCTTGGAAATCTGAGAATACAAATGCACTGTGGACACTTAAAGTCTGGACTTGTGCTTAAAGTATGTTCAACCATTTCCTCATGTGTTCTGGTTATTACCTGTTAATCATAAGAGAAGTAAGACAAGTGTAATCATAATGATCTTCAGTTACACCAATAAGGATCAGATTTGTTTTGTTTTGTGAGATGACACATAACTTAGAGGAACCTTTCAGCTATGATTCAGACTTTAACAAATAATGTGGTGGAGTTCCTTAGTGATATTAAATTTTGAAAATAGAGGAGGCCAAGGGAAAAACCAAAACCTGGATTATGGATATTTCTGAGGTCTGAAATTCACAGCCACCTCCCTTAGCATCTCCGTGTCCATTTTCTCTCTTCCTCTCTCATGCCTAACCCAGAATGCAGCGGTGTACTCAGCCCGTGTCCATGCCCTGGGGCGTTACGTCTTCATCCTCCACTATCACCAGCCTCTCCATCCCACCTATATTGTGCAGATTTACATTAACGCAGGACGAATCTGGCAGGGTAAGAGCACATTTTGAGCATTGATGAATACATTCCAGTGAATACCAAACAATACATGTGGAATAGCAAAAGAAAGGGAGAAAAGTCAACAACAGTGCTTGTAGTCGATGTGAATGTAGTCACATGCAGGTTGAAGGGACTGCCTAGCAACAACATGCTTCGTACATCTGGCTGGGATCTTCTGAGTTTGCTCTCCTCACTTCAGGGCACACCAATGCTTCTTTCTGCCCACATGCTTATGGCTGCCGTGACGTTGTGGTCTCTGAGAATCAGATCATTCTGGATGTGATGGACCATGAGGTCTTCCTCACAGTGCAGATACCTGCAGGCAAGATGCTCTGGCTGGTAGGTCCTGCTGCCTTATTTCTTGCCATTCTTTTTTGGTTATTTTTTCAAATTGTTTTCATAAAGACTCACCACTGTAAAGTTTGGCATGGCCTTTATTGGCCTGTGTTCTCTCTCAGTATGTGAGCGTTTTTCTGGAGTCTCTTATGTGTCATCATCATTCTTGACCCTTGGGACAAGATGTTTTAGGGGTTTTCATTCATTTCAACCTTCACATCTAAATATCTTTGATGACACTTATCTTTCTGGTGGCATTGTTGCATTCAGGTCTTGTGGGGAAAGCTGTCACACTGCAGCAGCAGCATTTTTAGCATACAGTGATGAGAATGCTCATTCATGGAGCTTTTACCAATATGAGTTGGTGTTTGCAGGCAGACAGGTGTTGTCTAGCTGGATGCTTTTATCCTGATGGTTTTTTTCCAGAATCCTAATGCAACAAATGACGGACCCTTCTCATCTCTTCATGTCTTTACCTTTCTCCCTTCCTAACTTCTATGTGTGTGATGTTCCGTGTCTCTCCAGGATTATGTGCTGGTGGTGCCTGAGGCCAGTTATAGATCGAGCTACCTGAACGAGGAACCTCTGGACAAGTCGTACGACTTCATCAGCAACTGTGGCCAAAACAGCTTTTACATCAAGTCAGTTATTAACAGGAGATGTTCAATATAGGCTACAAATATGGTTCACTTTAGTTAGGGTTAATTTTAGCTCTTTGGGCAGTACATTACTCAAAACAAATGTTACAGCTAATGCAATGGCTACTTACTTGTTTCCTTCTCCTCTCTCCTCCCTCCCTCCAGTCCTTCCACCACCTCTCCATTCTGCCTCAGCTCGGCTGTGTCTCTGTCAGCCTTCTTCAATAATGCGGCGATGCCTTGTGCCTGCCACGAGGTCGGAGCCGAGAGCGACACCTGCGAGCTGTTTGGCGGTCAGTGTCGCTGCAGGCCAAACGTGATTGGCCGAGACTGCTCAATGTGTGCCACGGGCTACTGGGGTTTCCCCAACTGCAGGCGTGAGTTCCTCTTTGAATGACAGACAAATACATCTCTCTAGTTTCACTGGTTATAAATGCATGCTTTTTGTTGTTGTTTTTTTGTTTCAGAAAAGTTAACAATCTAAATTAAATGTATAAAAACAAAACGAATGTGGATTTCAAAATATAACTGCATTTACAGTATTAAGTGAGTCAGGTGAATTTTTCCTTTAGATGACAGTTGTTTTATTTTGCTTTTGGACGTCAGCAGCCGAATACTGTGATGTTTACTTTATGACCCGATGTCTAACTGACAGCAATAAAATTCTTTTGTCTTTACTTGCTGGCACTCATCTAAAAGGATTTCAGAGAACTTCAGCCTTTGTTCACCTTTGACCCCAATGAATTTCCTTTCATACAAAGATTGTACAGACTTACTGACATATCTAATGCCTAACTGCAGAAACTTGATCTGAAAGAAAGTTATTTTTAAGAAAAGTTAAAGTGAATTTCTTTCTCTCACTCCTTTTCTGTCCTGTCTGTTTCTGAAATGTTTAGGCAGACAACCGAGTATGCTTCTCCTACAGTGACGTCACCGGATTTTGTCTTCTGTGTAACTAATTGTATCTTTTCTTATCTCTGCTGCAGCCTGTAACTGTGGTACAAGGCTATGTGAACCAGTGACTGGTGATTGTATCTGCCCTCCAAGGACTCTGCACCCTGAGTGCACCCAGTGTGAGCCCCAGACATTTGGCTGCCACCCGGTGGTGGGGTGTGAGGTCTGCAACTGCTCTCTTCTGGGCGTCATCTCTCCTGATGTCAGCTGTGATACGCTCAGTGGCCAGTGCAGGTAGGATGTGGCGAAACAGAGGAAATGATGATCAAGTATTGTTGCTGAGAGTGTCTCAGGAACTTCTTCTGTGCACTATAAACAGGAAGAAAATGCAACAATACATCCAGTTTCATCTCACTTCACCTCACTCTCACTGTTTCTGTTTCACTCCAAAGCCGCGAATCATTTCCTGCTCCCCACACTGTCACTACCATGTGATAGATAACTAGAGATTTGGTTAAGCAAGCCAAGCTCAGCTCTCAAATGCCAGGCCTCTGTTTGGAGACAGCCTAAAAAGGCAGTTGTTTCTTGTTCATTTAGACCTGTGGCATGATCTTGGCTCTGATTCGCACAGTGGGTCAGTTGTCTGCTTGTTTGGCCAGCTGTACTTGCCAACTTTACAGGACCTGCGGGTATGCAAATGTGCTCTTTAAGTCAGGCCTGGTTCTCCTGGGCCTGCCAAACAGCAGCTGTCGGTCTCATCCCTGTCTGGCTGTTTCTGTTCTTCCTCCTTCGAGCTTTATATCATGCCCTGCTGGGCAGTTTTGCTACAATACTTCTCCAAAGGCTGGTCAACATGTGTTCACAACTAAAATTGTCCATCACGTCCATCATTTATCAGACCAGATGATCCCTCATGGTTCTGACAAGGCTCCATGGTTAATAATGGTGACTGATTTTCAAGTCTTTTTTCTGACTGATACCTGACGCTCATTAACTGTTAACTGACAAGATTAAAATGCTACGCTATTTAGAATGGATGAGTGTCTGTGACCCATTAAAAATAATACTTGTTTATTTTTACATGTGCAAATAAGAAACAGAGAACAGCAGAACATGAACAGAAAAGCACTCGCATCACACCTGTGGAACTGTGAGTGGAATAAAACTGTCTAGTAAAATAGCTTCTGTGTGCTGCTGACCTGAGGCTGCTCATGTTTCTTTATGGGTGTGTGATATTGTGTTAGATGTGGGCCATGAATTTTACCTCCTTTCAAAGTAAAACAGACCACTCTCATAGCCTATATTTCTCTGAAAAACTGCAGGTACCGCAAAGACCTTAATCATACAAGTAAACCTTAGAACTGTGACTTCTGTGCCCTCTGTAGGACAGAAAAAGATGAGAGAGAGAGAGAGAGAGGTGTCAAGCATTTAGCGTTTTAAATTTTAAGTCATATTTACCTTGTTTTATGATTGGAATGAATAGCCTATAACTATAAGTTGAATATGATTATTGTTTATTTGGGACCACCTAAACTTGAACTTTCATTGCTTCTGGCAGAGCGCAGGTCTCTTTTGTCATCATCCCCTGTTTCTGTCATCTGCTCTCATCCTATCTCCAGGCAAGATGCAGTACATCTCAAACTCATGGAGAGGGCAGAAAACATTGCCTGCATCTTGTGATAACTGCCTAAAAAGTAAATTGCATAAGTGCTGGCACCTGCACATGCCAACCCATTTGGAGCATCAAGATTAATGAAATCATACTGAACTCTCCATTGCAGACAGTAATGAAAACCTCCTCCGCTCTTGGTTTAATAATCAAAACTCCCAACAGGTTTACAAAAAAAAAAAACCTCTAGGCTACTGTTTTTTGTTCAGAAATAGCAACATGTCAGCATGCTGCAGGGTTAGTCTGTTTACCGTAAGCCCTGTGGTGGAGAACACCCTGTCTGATGGTACTGATGTCCCAGCCCAGGAATGCAAAGCAAGTGCCTCACTAGTGGTCATCTTGGGGAAGCATGTCTCATTAGTTTTCCACCACGCACCCCCAGGAGTAGATATCTAGGCCCTGTAGCTTATTTTTCAGAAAACTGTTAAGCATTTTTTTACTGTTTATCTGATAGTATTAATTGGTTGGAAATCCTATTGTTAGTTAATAGTTAAATGGTTAAGGGTGTGCATCCCTAATGGTGACACCTCTTACTCGGACTTTAACATGGACCCTGATTGGATAAACACGCACTGATCACTATGGACAAACATTAGCTGGAAATTTTGTTAATTACTTGACTGTCAGTCAACTCACAGACAAACTGGACTATGTCCAACGCTCAGACCTAGAGGAGCAATCTGACATTTTGGAAATAAGTTCTTCCTGAGAGTTGGATGATATCACTCTTATGTGACTGTGATAAACAGCTAACCTCCAGCACTTTGAACCATGAGCCACACTGACCTACAGTCAGAGCACAGAAATAATGAGGGATGAAAATTCAAACCAACCAGCTGTAAGAAAAAGTTTGACCTGATACGTTATTTTTTTTGTACAAAAGTATGTTCTATCAATAATTAAAGTGGCTTCAGGAAGTTTCTCAAAATTACCTAAACAGAAATGGAGCCTGCATTGGTCCATTTACACTCATTTCCCCTTTTTCTCGCATTTTATTCAGTATATTCACAGTATTTCCTTCCTGCTTTATGACTCTTTCTGAAAATTTGACATGCTTACCACATTCTCTGCTTATCCCCTTCTGTCTTTGCTGTCTGTTGTCCTTTGTTTCTGTCTGTCTCTGTCTTCTCATTAGTCTGCAGTGAGGCATGCAAAGTACTTCAAATCACTCTCACACCCTGATACATACAGACACTTGTACATACACACAGGGGAATCTGTCAGCGTTGTCTGGACAAGACAAGGATGTGAATCTGAAAGCAGTTCTGTGTCTGAAGGCTTTCATTACTCAGGATTTTAGCACCTGGCACTAACACACATCCATACACACCACTCAGCTGCCGGTGGATCTCAGATAAAAATATTTCTGATCTGTAACATTTTATCTTGTATAAGACTGAACTGTTTGTTAGCACATAAAGCATAAAGGTCAACGGTGACAGAAAATTGTTTTCACAGATAAAGAGCTTTATATCCGATCAACATACAGTACCTGAACATATTGATTCTCAAACATTAATTGAGAAATGCTCTTTTTTTAAATTTTTTTTACAGATGTAAGAACAACATTGTAGGTCGCCAGTGTGACCGCTGTGCTCCTGGTTTCTATGGTTACCCCAACTGTATGCCATGTAACTGCAATGAGGCAGGGACTGAGGAGGAAGTGTGTGACTCCTTCACAGGACAGTGTCTGTGCAAGGTAGGCTGAAGCAACTCATACACACACACACACACACACACACACACACACACACACACACACACACACACAGAGAACCTTCTGTAGGTCGTAACCTGTTGTGTGTGCTTCTCCTATAGGAGAATGTCCAGGGTTCTCGCTGCGATCAGTGCAGAGTTGGCACGTTCCACCTGGACCCGACCAACCCAAAGGGCTGCACCAGCTGCTTCTGTTTTGGAGCCACTGACCGCTGTCGCAGCTCTGACAAAAGACGCACAGAAGTACTTGTTTGTTCTAATGGGGCTTTTGAGTCCAAATCCTAAGGGGAGGTCTGTTCTATCAAGAGAGAGTCATTATGTTTAATGTGAAGTTGAAAGGCCCCATGAACCATTGAGCTTATTTGACTTTTTATGATCACAGATGGGGTTAACATGAGCTGAACATTATCTTCAGAAGTTAGAACAGCTTTGGTTTTGTGCATCAGTGATTTTTGTATTTGGTTTTTCTGTGTTCCTTTCACTGGTTTCAAGTGGATTGGGTTCAGGTAGAAAAAGCTGATGTCATATACATATCTTTTATGAATCTTACCTTAGTATGTTTTTTCTAACCTTTAACTTTGATTGTTGGTTATTTAGCTAACAATATTTAATGTCATAGAGAAAGATCAACGATTTGAAGCCATATTTTCACAGACTTCACTAAACATGTCAGGCTTGCACTTGTAATGTACACAACTTCTACTAAGGGCAAGAAGATGTAGCCAAAATTCCAAAATGTTGCTATGAGCAATTCGTTTTTTGTTCTTATCTTCCTCCACAGTGTTTTAAATTTTAGGCTTAGATGCATTCAGTATTTGTACCTTTATTCTTCAGGTATTTTATTCATTTGGGAAGCTGTTAAATTCTTGTTGAGTAGTATATAATAGAAATTTGTGAAAAATTTATAAATTCCTCTTCTTTCAAGTGTTTGTTCTTTTCATCTCATCTCTTCTTCTTCTGCTGTAGATCATGGACATGGAGGGCTGGGTGCTGCTGGGAGCAGACAAACAGGAGGTACCAGTGGCAGTGTATCCTGGTCAGGACCTTGTAGAGGCCGACCTCAGTGATGTACCTGATGTATACCAGGATCTGCACTGGCACGCGCCAAAGACTTACCTGGGAGACAAGGTAAGGCTCTGAACAGAGGAGCCAGTGGAGAGAGGTGGTTTAGAGGTGGAGAGAGAGACAAGCAATTCTCTGCTTTACTTTAGGATTACTTTGTCTACTGACAGCCATGGTGGATTTACTCCTGTAATACTCATCATAGATATTCTGTCCACTGTATATAGTTTGTTCAAATACATTATAATGGAAAACAGCATTAATAGACAAATGTACCTAGTATGTCTTAGCTCTTTGACTAGTGACAATAAAGAGGCACAAACTGGTAAAATGTCACAATCCCACAGGGCGCGACTCTCACACCTACATTGCACAGACAGATGATGACACATCAGTGATCCAGAGGCGCAGACAGAGTGTTTGGATACAGATCAGTGTTTCATCTGTGTCAGCTTTAATGTGTGATTTTAGCCAGCATAATTTTACAGGGTGACATTTGGATTTAAATCCCAGACTGAGTCAGTTACACTCCATAAACTAGCATCATATGTAAGCTTTATCAGAACCTGTATGGTTACCACAGAAATGTAGGCATTTTATCCTTAAAGAGCCCATGGCTTGCTTTTCTGTGCTTTTTGACTTCTCCACAATGTTACAACGATGAATTATGATGACTGAAAGCTCAAAAAGCAAGGTGTACCTATGTTCTAGTACTTCTATGCAGAAGCAACTTGGTTTATACACATCTCATGAACTCTCGCTTGCCAAACTTTTTCCCAACTATGTAAAGTCTTATACAATAGTTTAAGGATTTCCTTGAATGGTCATAATCTCTAGGCAGTTGCACAGTCATGTGAGCTTGCCCAACATCCACCGGTGCCATTGTAAAAGTGACCAGTGACTGCGCCTGGTTTTGTGGAAATCTCTTTACCTCCTGCTGCTGCACCATGACCACAGGATGTGGAGACAAATACAGGGCCTGAGGTTACTGCATGTCCGGGAATGTTCCTGTACATGGACTCGCTGTTTTACCTGACCAGGTCTAACCTACAAGCAGCCGGCCTGTGAAGCCCCCGCAGCAGTTAGTGATCAGCTCATCAACGCTGGTTTCCCCCAGAGCACAATACCCGTTTGGTTTGACTGCTTGAGGCCAGTGTGTCTGCCTCATGTGATGTGTTGCTGGTTAACGAGCAGATTGATGACCCATGATGTTATTGTCAGTGCTACTCTACTTGTTGGAATTCATTCAGTGCAGCTGTATTCGAACATTATCTTAGCTAGCCTTACTAGCTTACTACAGTTATAACATATTAGAAATTGACAGAGTTGTGTTAAAAAACAAACACAGAGAGGAGGAGCTGTCCACAGATGGTCCGTCATCATGGTTGTTGTGTTTGTGAGAGAGAAAGAGAGCAGTGCACAGATGGACTAGGTGAATATGCGCTATGTGTGGCACTACAATGAAATAACATTTAACCTATTTAAAATAGAAAAAAAATTGAAAATAAAAATTGATATTGTGAAGGCTCACTACAAATAAATCAATGTATTGGAAACACTGCACTTGTGGATTTAGAGAAAGCGTACGACAGAGTGCCAAGAGAGTAGCTATGGTACTGTATGAGGATGTCAGGAGTGGCAGAGAAGTATGTCAGAGTAGTTCAAGATATGTATGAGAGGAGTACGACAGTAGTGAGATGTGCTGTTGGTCAGACAGAGGAGTTCAAGGTGGAGGTGGGGCTACATCAAGGATCGGCTTTGAGTCCCTTCTTGTTTGCTATGGTGATAGACAGGTTGACAGATGAGGTCAGACAGGAATCTCCCTGGACAATGATGTTTGCAGATGACATTGTGATCTGTAGTGAGAGCAGAGAGCAGGTAGAGGAACACCTGGAAAGGTGGAGGTCTGCTCTGGAAAGAAGAGGAATGAAAGTCAGTCGTGGTAAGACAGAATGCTCAGTGCATACAGAAAGCAAACGGTTTGGATAGGCAAAGAGCAAAGTCTGGCATGTGCACCCCCAACTTATAATCAAGAATGAAGACACAACAAGATGTCTTTGTGTGGAGAACACTGCGGCCTGCATACCCTCTGCCATATACTGATATCAGGTCACCAGACAGACAGCAACATAGAAGTGCGTGGCCAGCACAGAAATTTAAACTCACTTTCCTCTCTGCTGTGGAGTTTGGACAGTAGCTAGCCAATATCAAACATGAAAAGCAGCTTTAGATTAACATTGCACTTGATTTATACATGATTTGGTCAAATGTTCATCACACATGTTTGTTACCTGACCTGAAGGCTGAATCTTGTTCCTGGAGTAATGCCCTCACACTGCTGTTTTATCCATGGTTGTTGGCTGGGAAACGCTTTTATTGTGCTTTGTATTAAAACACTTTCTGTGCAAAGGTTTATGCATCCTAGGACTGATCCAGCATATTCCTCCAGGTCTTTTCCTTCTGGAAACAAAACCCAGTGTGTGTTATCAAAACAGTCTTACAGCACTGAGGTGGCATCCTCAGACTGTCCTGAGGATCTGTGGTCTATAAGCTGGAATAAGGGAAATATGGTGTGATTGTACTAGATGTGAAGATGGGATTGCTTTAAATGCTCCTGGGATATTTGTGTAGACTTGGTCTAGAACGTTGTTCTGTCTTGTTGGAAAATTTCAATTTTGGCAAAATATGGGCATGACCAGTTCTATCCCTGTTTGTCCAGGTCTCATCTTACGGAGGCTATCTGAGGTATCGGGTCTACACTCAGACCATGAGAGGTGATGTGTTGTCTCTGCCTGCAGAAGCCTCTAGGCCTGACATCATTCTCAAGGTACAAAATATAAACGTACATGCATATCATTGTAGTCTAGTTTAAAAAAAAAAGACCATTGTGGAAAAACACATTCTCACAGACCTGTTAGAACCAAGACACAAAAACACACAAATTATTAAAAAACAAACCCTTTTGTCTGTCAAGACCTTGTCTCATATGATACAGTATGAAACAGATCATAGACACTCTCTTATGCTCCACTGGGTTAAAAGTATTTCCTGTTTTTTCTGCCTGCAGGGCAACCAGATGACCCTGGTGTTCATAGAGAGAGAGTACTCCTCACCTGAGGAGCCTCACCTAGGAATACTTCATGTAGTCGAGGTAAAGTCACCTTTATATACAGTGCTGATTTGTAGAAGCTACAAACATTAAAAGATTTAAGTGGGAAGCTTACAGCCTGACTCATGCAGGCCAAGTAGCAGTGTGTTGGAGAGTTGGTACTGATTACCAGAGGGGAATCCTCTTTTCTTCCAGGATATGATGAGTCAAACGTGATATGGAAAGCAGAGACCAATTCACTGAGTGTGAAGATTTTGATGTGTGTACAGAACTAATCAGTCTAAGTCTAGGTGTGGTGGTTATAATCTGCCAGTGTACGTGACATTGTCCCCAGACTGTGTCCTTTATTTGACAGGAAATAACGATGATGAGTATTCTTACAATATTAGTTTATAGTGGTTTTGATAATGGCATTATTTTATAGGATTCATTTGAGCATTGGTGAAGAAAAAAACCCCAAGAATCTCAAACATTTAATCTTGTTTAAATAAGGCTACTTCAGTAGCCTCTGAATGTGCGCTTCTTTGCTCATTTGTTTTTTATGTGTAACTATGTGCCTGTATCTCCTTGAGGGGTCATTATAGAATATAGAATAAAGGCCAATCTAAAGCCTAACCCTACAGTAACTCCACTGATGATGGTTCCCTGCTCCTGCCTCTCTTCCTGCACTCTCCCTCCTCTTGTCACAGGGAAGTTTCCGTCACGCTCAGACCGGTAACTCTGTGTCTCGGGAGGAGCTGATGATGGTTCTGGTCAGTCTGGAGTCTTTACAGATCCGAGCTCTGCACTCCCAGTCTGCCCACTCGGTGTCGCTCCAGGGTGCTGTGCTGGAGGGCGCTGAGAGCCTACCCTCTGGTCGCCATGCCAACAATGTGGAGATCTGCATGTGTCCCGCCAACTACTTGGGAGACTCATGTCAGGTGAGGGACCACATCAGTTTTTGGGGTGATTGCTTTACTTCTGAGTCAGTATTACATTATTAATATTTTGCCACCTCCTCAAAGGAAGTTGTTTGTTAGTTTGCAAGATAGCTGAAAAAAAATCCCCTATTATTTGAATTTGATGTGAGGTTAGGAAAGAGGAACTGTAGTTTACATAGAATCATTTATTTATTTATTTTGAAGGATTTTACCACATGCAGAAGTCGTTTATGATTATAGCAGCTTTCATTTTTGATGGCATACGTGTAAGTTCTTGTTACATGTTGAACTGAACAGGGTTTTATAATCAAAAACAAAAATACTTATGTATGTAAAGCTGAAACAGACAGTTAATCATTAAATAGGTTTAGCTGACAGACATTTAATCATTAGTTACTTTGATAACCAACTGGTTGTTTTTATGCAAAAGGTCTCTAGTTTCTCAACTGTATCATCAGTGTACAATGTCATATACAGCAATAGTGGCACCCCTACACACACATCTGTAGTTTGATGTTTCTCTCCTCTCTTTAGAAATGTGCTCCAGGTTATTACAGAGATGCTATTGGCCTGTTTCTGGGGAAGTGTGTTCCCTGTAACTGTAATGGACACTCAGACCATTGTCTGGATGGATCTGGAATCTGTGTGGTGAGGAGCTCCATGAATCAGTCCTGACCTTTTTGTCATTATTGGTCTCTTTTGTAAGGTAAGTCACTGTCTGTTTTTTTTTTTGTCTATACATCAGAACTGCCAGCATAATACAGCAGGCGACCACTGTGAGAGATGCCAGGGTGGTTTCCTTGGCAACAATAGTCTTGATGGACAAGTAGTGTCATGTTCCAGTTGTCCCTGCCCACTGAGGGTCCCATCCAACAAGTCAGTACATTTTAGGATCTTTTTAAGTTTTCATCATTCCTTTTCTAAAAGTCTTCTCTCACCTCTCTTTCTCCTCACATACTGTATGTCACAATCTGTGCCTTTATCTTTCACATTCAGTTTTTAGAGTCTAGATAGATAATTAGTTTTACAGTAATTCCTGTTTCTCTCTGTCTGTAGTTTTGCAGTAGGTTGTGTGCAGAGAAACAACAGGATGCAGTGTCTGTGTATGCCGGGTTATGCTGGACCAAATTGTGAAAGGTAATCTCCGAAGCCTCTGACACAGTGTGGGTATGTTGTCAACAATACTCTACCCCAAACTTAAATGCAAGCAATAAAAATCCTTTTAAAGATCAACAGTTCCAGATAAATGAATTGTTGAAGTGCCTTTTGCCTTGACCTCTCAGTTTTATCTAATTATAGACCTGTCTCTCACTTCCCATTTCTTTCAAAAGTTTTAGAAAAGATTGTTTTTAAATTATTGCATGTTTTCTTCAAAGAGAACTTAATTTGTGAACTATTTCAAGCGAGTGTTAGATCTTGCCACAGTACTGAGTCAGCATTGTTAAAAGTTCACAGTGACATTGATGTTGGCAGTTGATGCTAAGATCCCTGCCGTGCTAGTACTCTTGGACCTTAAAGCAGCTTTTGATGCTGTGGACAACAGTGATAACAGTAAGGCCTCTAGCATCCATCTTAAAGTCAGATGTAAAGAATCTGGGTGTGATATTTGATAGGGATTTGAAGTTTGACAAACAGATTAATTCAATTCAACTTCATTGATATGATCAAGCACTTAGGTCATCTGGTCAGCTACTTTTACATGTCCCCAGATGTAGATCTTAGTGATAGAGTGACTATGCTTTTGCTGTAGCTAAGTTGTGTAACACTCTTCCACCTGAACTTCACTATATCACTGACCTTGCTCTGTTTAAATCCAAACTAAAGACTTACTTATTTACCATGGTTTTTGGTTCCTAGTAGAGTTTTGTCAGTTTTATGGGTGTTGATCACTTTTATTTGTCTCTATGTTGTTTGCGTTTTAATGTTGGACTATTGTATTTGTTTTTATATTGCTTATTTTAGCAGGTGTATGTAAAACACTTCCATCAAATTCTTGTTGTTTTTAAGTGCTACTTAAATAAAGGTTAAGTTGAGGTGAGTTATTAAAATCTCCATATAAAGTTAATTTGGATACTTGAACATCAGGTAATGATGATGATGATAAATTCTGATTTTCTATAAGTGAGTCAAAGAAAACATACAGTACATTCATACAGTTTGCTGTAGATAAATGTTATTAACTACACAGGTGCGCCCCTGGTTTCTACGGCAACCCGATGGTACTTGGTAGCAGGTGTCAGCCATGCCATTGCCATGGCAACACAGACACCAACATGTTGTTCACTGATTGTCACCCACTGACCGGAGAGTGTCTGAGCTGCATTCACAAGACAGCTGGACCTCACTGTGACATTTGTGCACCTGGTTACTATGGAGACGCCATCACCACCAAAAACTGCACCAGTGAGTTCAGCTTCACTCTCCACAGATGAATCAACACAAGAATAAGCTCATTAGAGGCATTCAGTTGTTTATTTGATCTGACTCTTAGGTTGATGCTAGACATAGATGCTCCTTACTGTTTGACTCTTCCTGGTCTATTCAGAGAGTCCCAGAAAAAGAGCGTTAAACTGAAGCTACTGGTAACAGTGTGATGGATTCAGTTGTTAAAAGATTTCTCAGAAAATTAAAACACTGTGTTCATGTTGTTGTCACACAGAATGCAGCTGCTCTCAGTGTGGCACTGAGTCATGTGACCCTCACACTGGACAGTGTCGCTGCAAACCAGGAGTGACTGGACCACAGTGTGACCGCTGTAATGTAAGTGCTGCATGTGTGAGGTTCTTTTTTCCCTGTCTTTCCCATATTTCACATTCATTTTAGATCCTAAATTTCTAAACTGAAAATATAAATCTGTCACACTTATTTACAAACAGCCTGCAAAGACGTTGGAGGTATCTACCTAAAACGAGAGGCAGATCTGAACACAAATGTAGATACCCAAATGTGAGGGTCTCTGCACTGATTCTCACCTGATGCCTCGAGCTCAGTCGGTTGTCCTTTTGCTCTGTAGGATGGCTCATTTGGTTTCGACTCGTGCTCTGGCTGCCGTCAGTGTGACTGCGATGCCTCAGCAGCTCTCGTCAAGCCATGTGACCCTCATAGCGGTCAGTGTGCCTGCCAGCCCGGAGTCAACGGACCCAGCTGCAAACAGTGTGCCCCTGGATACTGGGACTACGGACCTAATGGATGCAGGAGTGAGTGAATGCATGACATACAGACTGTATGTCTGTACAGACATAGAACAACACTGTATGATAATATTGATGTTTGAAGGCAAAAAGAGTGAATGGTCAGCACAATGCTCGTTATGCAGGGTCTTTCAATAACATATGTAATGGGCTATATAGCAGATGTGGGATTAGGTCACACATGTGCAAGTCATAAGTAAGTCTCAAGTCCCAAGTTACTGTTGTGAGAATCAAGCAAACTGAGTCAAGCAAGTCACAAGTCAGGTCACATGAAATTCTGATGATGTTATGGGAACATCACCTATTTAAGTGAAACGTTCACAGGCCTCCTCTGATTATTATTTATGCATTTGTAGGTTATAAACTAACCGTTTAATTAAGAGACATGACTTTCACCGCTATCAGGAACTCTTCTCAATAAAATGGTAATTGATTCAAAGCCTGATCTGATGTAAGCAAACAGCTTACATCAGATCAGCACACAAAATTGATAATGGATGTGTTAGATTTACAGTTCGTGTGCGAATGATATGCACTGACAGTAACTAATAGTATTGGTGGCAAAGAAGCATTGGAGTGCCCCTCAGATTTTACTTACAGCCCCATAAAGATGGCCGGCCCTGTTTGTGAGTTAGTGTCAGATGAAATTGGATGATGTTGCGGTCGTGTCGCACATTTTTGTGCTGTAGACTTTACATGCTGCTGTTCTCTTCTTACTGCTGTCATTGACAACATAATCCTTGAATCCATATTTTGTTATTTGTGGACTATACACCACTATAGCTGCATCTTGTGACCTGTGTTGCCCTCTACTGGTCTACCGCCTTCTGGTAGGTTGCCAGGTTTGCATGCGTTGGACTACAGATCACCCAATTGTGTTTCAAAAACAAAACATAACTTCTAAATATCTAGAAAAATGCAAATATTTAATTTAAAAAGTGAAGTAGTTTTGAGTCATCTGTCTAAAATCTAAGTCAAGTCTAAAATCATGAATTCCAAGTCTAAGTTGGGTCTTTTACAGTGTTTGTCAAGCAAGTCTCAAGTCCTTAAATTTGCCACTTAAATGTGACTCGAGTCAACTCATGTGACTTGAGTCCCCCTCCTCTCCTACAGTATATGGTATTTTCTTTTATTTATTTCATTTGTATTTTACATATTGATCATTTTGTAGAGCTCAGTTTTTCCAGTTTCACATACATTTTGTTGGCAGTCATCCCTTTGGAGGGTTCGTCTTATTCCATGGCCGTTAGCTTTCTTGCTAATAGCCAAACCTTTTTTGATTCTGAGATGCATCCTTTCCAGTGGGTTTATTAGCATTTTGCCCAGGTAAAAGAGCAATCAAGTCTTTTTTTTCAAAGCAGTCAGAAAATTGTTTTTATACAGCATCCCTGCAGTGTAAATATAAGTGCCCACATATTATGCATTCCAACCAGTAGTAGTAGTAGTAGTAGTAATAGTAGTGGGGGTAATAGCGGTAGTAGTAGTAGTAGTAGTAGTAGTAGTAGTAGCGGTGTTAGCAGGAATAGTAGATGCTAAATTGTAGCTTTCATGGCTGAGTTGCTTCTTTTATTTATTCACACTGGGACACAAAATGGTTCTAATAAAATAAAACCAACCCATTTGTTCTGTCTGTGTTTTTGTTTCCTACCGTCCTAACCCTTAAGAGTGTAACTGTAGAGGAGGTCGCTGTGACCCCCGCACAGGAGAGTGCCACTGCCCTGACGGCATGACAGGAAAGCAGTGTGACACCTGCATACAGCAGTACAGTATGCCTGTAGAGCACCACCACGCCATGCACTGTGAACGTAAGTCACATATACTGTATAGTAACAACAACTGAGGGGAAAACGTTAAATATGCTGGAAAATGAGGTATAAGAACAAAAAAAAAACCATTTGTTAAAAAGTGTTAGGAAGGAAAGCCATTACAAGTGTGTTTTCCTCTGCAGCGTGTGACAGCTGTGTCATCGTCCTGTTGGAGGATCTGGAAAAGATGACCGACGACTTCGACTCCGTCGCCGCTCGGCTGAGCACGCTCAACGCCAGCTCCGTGGCTTGGGCTGAGCTGGACAATCTCAGCAAGTCTGTGGAGAACATTGCTGTGAGTGTCCTCACGCAAACACACAGATATGAACAAACATGTTTTCAGCCACCAGAGCAATGTGGAACACACACTCACTGTTGTGCCATGTTGCAAGCATGTATTAATGACACTCTTTTTCTCATTGTTGTAGCATGCCATAGATAACTACAACAGCACCCTGGAAGAGAGCAGGAGTCAGGCCGACATGATAGATGCTGAAATCATAAATATCAAGGATGACATTGATGAACTGCAGGACAAGGTGGGTTCACTGAGTCCAACACAGACTAAATACAGACATAAATCAATGCTTTAATCCTTACTTGAACTACTGAATCCACTTCCACGCCAAAATGAGCTTATTTCTGACTGAGTCGGTGTAGCTCCGTGTAGTTCCGAGTGAGGAGCAGTGTTCCTTGCTCAGTAGCACAGTGTTTGTGTTTACTGGTCCAGAGCGAGCCAAGAAAAAAGCACAAAACAAATTCAGCTTCTGTTGGAACTGGTCAGTGGTCTAAAATGTCTACATTAGGTTGTATGAATAAATCATTCAATACTAATATTTTATTTGTACATAATTAACATTGTGGCAAGATTCTCCTCTTAAGATAAGTCTTTAATATCTGTCACAGTATGGGGTCACATACTCAAGAATATGTTGGGTTTTTTTTTATTTTAGGATTTTGTTACTGGATGTTTTAACACTTTTGTAAATACTGATATTGATATGTTTGAAATGTTGTGATATTTGTCCACATCACTCACCTCTACCTTTTTGGTACATAATATGTTTAGTCCCGCTGGAAGAACAAAAAACTGCCATAATGAATCATTTTATTGATAAATGCAGCTGTTATAACATCAGTGTGCTCATTTTTGCTTTTCTTGCAGGTCATTTAATTGAATGTAACTGAAATAACATATTTTTCTTACTTGTGTGAGAAACATAAGTAACACTTAACACAGTAACACAGTTTTTTATGCCACTCCAAATCTATTTCAACTTTCATCAGGAACACCGAGGAAGGCAGTTTCTCCTCTATCATCATAAAATTATAAACTTGTGAAATTTAGTTTTTATTTAAACTTAACTGTGCTGTTTTTTTCCTCAGGCAAAAGTGATGACTGACAGGGTTGTTGACCTGAATGATAGTACGGCTAACACACACCAGAGAGCACAAGATCTTCTGTCCCTCATTAACAACATGACCAAGGCTATAAACGGTAGGACACAGGACTATACGTGCAGTCAGAAATCCGTTTAAAAACATAATAACAGAATGGTGTAATACAAAACCCAGATGGACAGGTCAAATCAGGGACGATGCTTGTTCACTTCCAAAGGAGCCAGTTAAAATGGTTCAGACATCTGATCAGGATGTCTCCTGGGGACCTTCCACTGGAGGTTTTCAAGGTAGACCCAGAAAATACTGGTGAGATTATGTATCTCATCTGGTCTGGGATCCCCTAGGACAAGCTGCATCACCGGTATTAAGACAGAAACCAAGAGTGATTTTTCCATGTGTACATTTTTAAGTATTATTTTGATACGTACCTGTGAAAAAATAAGTAAGTTGTAAGTATATTTTGTCTAAAAATAACGTAATGTCAAAACTCCATTAATCTGTTAGCGATCTGATGTGAAGGCGCTTTAAGAAACTAAAAGAGACCTCAGTAGTCAGCAGAGAAAACCTACATTTGGATCTTCGTCAGAGAAATACATTTCCAGATCAAAAGTCCTACTTTAAAATATTAGACGCTTACGTTATTACAGTTCTACAAAGTGACTTGCACACGTCTACTGGTCGTCATCTAAACCTCCAACAATCAATTTGTGATTGTTTGTGCTGCCCTCCCTTTTCCGCAGATATCATCCTGATGGCCAACAGGTCATCTCTGAATGACACAGACGGAGAGCAGGACACTGAAGACGAGGAGAAGATGATGAGGGAGATACAGGACATGCTGAGGGAGATGAGGGACAGGAGCTGTGTGGGACAGAAGAAACTGGCCGACAAGGAGAAAACTGAGGCACAGAAATGTATGTATATTTGCTCAGAGAAATACATCCACACACAAGACACTAACAGATACATTTGGACTCTTCCTGCACACTTGACATGTCAATTTTACAGCAGTTTCTTCATTTTAGATGTGATTGCTTTGATAGTAGAGGTTGTTCTGTGATTCTTTGTTTAAGTCTGCTTTTGTAGCCTAGATTCTAGAAGTGGGAAGGCAAAGTGTATCCTATGAATAGGTAAATGCAGAGAAATAGGCTTGTTTTTCCTGTATAACAGTACACTTGTTTACACAGGAATTGATATTTGTGCATTTAATATTTTTTGTCAAGGTTCTAAACCTGATATTAGAGCTGCCATTATTGTCACATTATGGATGTTTGATAACATTTTGTTTGTTGCCCTTTATGTTACTGCATGTACAGTGTCTATCTTATTAATTAACAGGGCTAATACAAGAATAGAGCAGAGTTTTAAGAGTTTATGAGCCAAGTGGAGCCAAATGGAGATATGGGACAGTTAGACATTCATCATTGCCATGAGAAGCAAAGCAAAATTAACTGAAGGAAACTGTGGTGTGGACTGTGAAGGCCCAGTCATGCTCTTAGGTCACATCTTTGTGCATGGGTTGAGCTGTGCCTCCCCAAATAATTCACTTCATTTGACGTTGCGTGTTTTTCTAAAATGAATCATTTTATTTCTTGCCGTTTGTCATTCGGTAATGTTAAAAGTGATGAGACAAAGTTAACCTGTGATACATTGTTTTATAAAATATCCTTTATCTGGCATGGGTTGTATGTTGTTTGAGACATGCATTGTCCTACCTGTTGCTGATGTGGTTCTCCTCTGAGCAAAAGGGGGAGTCTAGGATGTAAACTTAATTATATACAATGGGTGTGATACGTGGTTAGAACCAACTCATCTGGGTTCATGGGGGAGATCAAAACTTGTCTTAACTGCACATGTGATTTCATATAAATGATATTCTTAAATTATGTAAAGGGAAGTATTATTGTCATTTAGAGTGATGAGTTATCTATCGTTAATATTATCTTTGTAAATGTCTGTTCTTTGTCTGGCCAGACAGGTATAAATGTTCCCTGGAGGTTTGTTTGTGTGCTCACTGCTCACTCATGTAGCCAGTTTTTGATTTGGACCTCTGTTCATGGGAGGCAAGAAGCAAGCTATATTTTTTTGCCTTGTTAAACTTGTTTGCACCTGACTTACCATGAAGAGTTTTCATGGACATTGAGTTTGGGTGAATAAAACCCTTGGGTCTCTTGTGCCTGACTGGGCCTTCACATAATTCATAATGGATGGATAGATGTTGATGTAAATTCTAGGAGATGTGATTTGGTTTGCTCTGACCCACGTTACCTGAAAGGACAGTGGGTCACTACTCATCTATCCAGTAGTAGAACTGCTTTTAACTACATAGAACCTATGGACATAGGACATGATCTGCCTAGAGAAAACAGGCAGTTTTTGATTGTTAGAACAATATAATATGTTTGTACATTAAGCTTCCAAGGATGAATTAAATGGTTGGACTGCTGAAGTTAGATAGAAAAAGTATTTTTGAGATTTCAGTTGCTGTGTGTTATATCTTTATTGTTGGTCTTCTTTTTTTAACTTTTGACAATGGCCAAAGAAATGAGCATCTGTTCTTTCAGTGCATATATTACACATCTACACACATGTAACTTTTCATAGTGCTAGCCATCCTTGAAAATTGTACATAGTGTTAGATTCTGGGTGCAGGAAGTTTAAAAGCAAGCTTCTAATGTAATTTGCTAGTGTACATTATCTAAACTAATGTAAACTGACACAAATTCACTTTTTCAACAACAAATGATGGGTGTGATCATATCCTTAAGATCGGTGTCTCTGGCTCACTGTGTCCTCTGCTAGTGTTGGACCGCGTTAACAAGGAGCTGGCAAACCGTCAGGTAGAAAACAGTGACCTGGCCAAGGCCATCAGAGACCGGCTGGCTCGTTTGCACTCTGAAATGATGGACCTCCGAGACGCCCTCAATGAAGCTGTGAACAACACGGCCAGAGCTGCAGAGATCAACAATGTCAATGAGAAAACACAGGAGGATAACAAGGTGATCTGCAAGTCAACATGAACATTCAAGAAAGAGTAGCTGTCAGTGAACAAAAGTGTGTAATATTATACTGTTTCTGTCTCAGAGGAAGATAGAGGACCTGCTGTCCAAGCAGAAGGAGGTGACTGACCAGTTAAATATGATTGAAACCGATGTCGCCCAGGTCGATGATGTGCTGTCCATGCTGCAGGACTCCAAAGAGGTTAGAAGAAGCATAAGCACAGATTTGAAGATATAGCTCAAATTCCGCCTGATGTTCAAACTCTAATGATCTAGGGGCTCAGTTTTCCTGCAACAGAATGCAGCACTAAAGTTGTGTCTAAATTCCATGCACAAGGCACATATGGATGTGTTCAGTGGTGTTTTGCAGTTTTGGTGACCACAGACGCAGCCAGGCTTTACTAGGCACATTGTGGATGAAAGGCAGAATACATTATTATATGCCCAGTCAGACCAGCTCCTCTCCTTTCCTTTAAAGAGCAGGGTGGAAACCTGACTGACTGATGTCACTGATGTCAAGACACGTAATTATATGAGAGGAAATATTCTGTACCTGTATCTTCTTCTCCTTCCAGTTATGTTCTCCATTCCTAGATTGACAGTGACAAAACTATTTTTGTAGAAAAATTACACATAAATATTTACTCAGTAGTCTGCTAATATCACTGACCAGTGCATCACCGATTATGGTGAAAAGGAGCACACAGCCAGCGATGCCCACTGTGTCGCCCACTTTATCTCCATCTACAGCTGCTTTCAAAGCTGATCAAACCAGCATAAAATGCAAAAACAGACAATTTATATCCCTACGATTATAATGAAGGTATGTCTGTGTGCAACTTGTTCATTTAAAGAAACTAACTTGACAATCATGGAGACGTCTCCAGGGTGTTATTTATCTTGGCCCATGACCTGCTTTCACATGTTATGTCCCAAACATGACTGTTGATCACCTCTGGCTGTATCCTGGTGTGTTCTGACGAGCAGCACCACTGTTTGACCATATTCATGTATATAATCACATAATGAGGACTAGTTTATTTCTTATTTAAAAATAATCTTCATGATATGCAATACATCTCTGCTCAGACTACTACCCAAATGACCCAGTCTCGGATAAAGCGGACAAAGATGGATGGATGGATATGCAGTATATTATTCAGAGTTAATTCCAGCAGAGCAGTTGTGGATTTAAGGGTTTATTTTAAGTTGGTGTGTCCAATAAAATACATGTGGGTACCTGGCCTAGTGCTTCCCAACCTATACGCTGGTCAAGAAAATTGCAAATACACCTGCAGCAGTGATAAGAGCTGCTCTGAGCAGGTGTTATCTTTATGGTCATTTCAGGTCAGAGTTAGTGCATTCATTCATAGCAGGAAAATGGAGCTGTACATAATTGCAAGGAAGACTGCATAACCACTGTGATTGAAGTGACACAGAAAATGTGCTGGCAGGAAAACAGAGCCATGAGTCTAATGAGGAGGGCCTTCACATCTGCCTCGAAGAGCCAGAAGAGCAACATTCTTAGATATTCTTGTGAATATTTTAATGAGCTTGCCAGGACATTTTTTATATATAATCTGCAAGTCACTGTGAAAGCAGAATGTGTTCAAAACATCAACACAATGAATTATGTATATACCCAAATCATGAACACAAACTCACTTTTTTGTTCGATTCTTCGATAATTTTAAGGAAATGTTTACACAGTTAATAATCCACTTTCATTTTATTCTCATTTCTTGTGCAACTGGGATCAATAAGTTGATTTTCCATTTAGTTTCTGAAGTTATATAGTTGGATTTTGCCTTCATTCATAGTGACACAGACATGAAATACAGAGAGATCTGAAATCAGACTGGAGATATTGTGGTTCTATGCATATGTCTCTTAAACACTTGCCGTGTTGTGCTAGGAGTACGAGAGGTTGGCAGCCCAGCTAGACGGTGCCAGGACCCCACTGGAAAAGAAAGTGCACATGTTTGCTGGGACCTACTCCAAGATTCCCCTGGTAGAGGCGGCTGAGAACCATGCTGAGCTGCTGAATGCTTTAGCCATGAACCTGTCCAGGTGAGAGATTGGTTGGCTGCCTAGCTACAACTATATCATGTTTGTAAATCTGGTAGATGAGGCAGACAGACGCACTTATCTACCAGACACTGGACAAACCTCATCAGGTAAATAATATCCTAAGTTAGTATTGGAGAAGACTGGTTTTGCTAATATAATGCGTTTATTTTATATCATGAATAAAAATAAACATTGGGTTGTTGCCTTTGTATGTTGGCAGTTTGGTTGCAGAAACTAAGAAGGACAGAGTTGTAGATGTCACACAAGCCTACAGCAGGATTGTCAACACCATCGCAGAGGCAGAGGAGGCTGCCAAGATGGCTGACAAGGCTGCTAACATCACTTTGGAGGTACAGGACCCACACACAGTCACTTATAGTTTGTATGGGAATGCATGCATGCACAAATGAAAGTACAGTACTTTCACTGACCTTAAATTGTTTGTTTGTGCCTGGCTTGTAAAATTGTGTGTTTTTAGAACATAAAGGATCAGGACCTCGGTCAGATGGCTGATTCTCTGAAGAAACACAGCGTGGACCTAAAGGATGAAGTCGAAAAGCTAAATGATCAACTCAACAACAGTAAACACACATCATTACACTGTTACATCATTGTTTTTATTCAAGTGATTTATATAATGGATGTCATGAAATGAAGTACAGTAGTTGAAGTGTTTGTTTTTGTTTTTCCTTTCTCTGCTGCACAGAGCTGAAGCCCCAGCTAGAAGATGCTCGGAGGCGGCTGAATGACTCCAAAACCAAACAGGTTCAAGTGATGAAGAAACTGGCAACGGTTCAGAGCAACCTAAACTCCACCACAAGTACGCACATGCAACACATTCACACAGACTCTTCCTATTTGTGTACTGATAAACAACTTGTTAATCAATACACAGTACAGTTCAGTCCCTAGTCCCAGCAGTACGCATTATACTAACAGTACATATATTATTAAAATTTAGAGAACATTTTAAAAATCTCAAATGTGAATCATTTCTATAAGATTAAATGAAAAGTACTAAAAAAAACCTTTTAGCAGGATCACAGTACATTAATGTTCTAATAAATATACATCATTTAATAATATGATTATTAGTATTTGTATGTTCATCTTTCTTTCTCTGTGATGAGCAGATGTAAGTCAGGAGATCAGTGAGGCGAAGCAAGCAGCGGATCTGGCAAACACCACAGCCACCCAAATCAACGATGCCTTGCGTCCCATTAAAGAGCAGCTGGACCGATGGCAGCAGACCTACAGAGATGCTAACATCAGCAATGACGACATCAGCAAGGCCTTGATGGAGGCCAACAAGACTGGTAAGAGCATGTGAATGCACCAGCAAACAGCTTACAATTATAGAGCCGACAGCCTCCGAGGGTTTTTTGATTTTCTCTGTGTTTGTTCCTTTTTATCCTGTGTTTTCTACACATTTATCATATTTTGATGAGCAAGTAATTGTTTGAGTCAGAATTAAACCAATAATGCCAAACATTTTCTAGTACCACCTCTTAAATGTCATTATTTTCAGCTGAGTCACTTTGCCCTTCTCTGTAGTGCACGAGCTGGGTACCTCGATTCCTACACTCCTAACAAAGTTGGATCAGCTACAGAATCACTCCATCCACATGCCCAACATCTCTGAGAACATCAACCGCATTCGGCAGCTCATACAGCAGGCACGCAACGCTGCCAGCAAGGTACACACAACCGCACTGAAAAAAGAAGCAAAAACAACATCTGAAGTTGGAATTACAAACATGTTTTTCCAGCACCTTCACGTGTTTTTTTTATTGCATTGTCTCCTCCTCTTTCCCCCATACAGGTTAGCGTGCCGATGAAATTTAACGGGGCCTCTGGTGTCCAGGTTCGTACTCCACCTAACCTGGCTGACCTGGCTGCCTACACCTCCCTGAAGTTCTACATCACTCTGCCGACACAGGACAAGCAGCAGGGCAACAGTACCCGACAGTTCATCTTCTACCTCGGCAACAAGGATGTAAGCATTCACGTCGACATAAAGGCCATTTTGTTTGGTGGTTTATTGTATATATTGAATCTCCTTTTTGTGAAATTACAATGGTCAGTGGTAAATCATGATGATCATGTTTACGTTATTGTTGTAAATGTAGTTTTTAAGTATATTCAAATTCTTATGTTTGTTTAAGGTTACAGAACGTTCATTTGATGTACACACTTTTCCAAAGTGACTAACATCCAGTAAGGGCTGTGTATGGATTTGCGTGGGCTAACCTGTGTGGATTTTGTATTCCATTACTGTTTCTGTGATACCTGTAGTCCATTAAGGAGTATCTGGGCATGGTGCTGGATGGGCAGCGACTGCACTGGTTCTTTAACGTAGGAGGAGAAACTGCTGAGGTGGAGATGCCTGAGGATGTTCAGTCCAATGGAAACTTCAACAATGTAGTCTTGGAGAGGTAAGATGTGCACACACACACTAAAATCTATATATAATGCCTGAATATGTGATGACATGGTTCCATACACATTTTTGAAAATGGCTTTCAGTGATATTTTGTCTTTACTTCATTTTATTGCTGATTTGTTCTTGTTAAAATAATGAAATGTCATTTTCCTTTCAACTTGAAAGAGAATAATCACTGAAATGTACAAAGACTGAAAACACAATGGGTCTCATTCACCAACCATTCTTAGAACAAATTTGTTCGTAAAACTCATTTACGAATTTTTCAGAAAGATTCTGGCATTCACCAATGTTTTCTTATCTGGAATTTGTTCTTGTGTAAGAACAGAATCTACACACACTCAGGAGCACACTGACACACATTTGACTGCTGACATGTTTGTGTGAAATAACATTTATTTACAAGATTTAAGTTACAACAACAGTTTTGTCATTTAGTATTTCTTTAGTATATTTCCCATTATTTTACAAAGCAGCACACCCAAAAGTGATGTGTAATTGAATTAATTAATCACTTTTTATTGGCCAAGTATGTTAGACACAGAAGGAATTTGTTTCAGTACAGAACCAAGGCAGCCATCTGTGGCACCAACTCACACACACACGCATACACACACCGATGGTGGCGCTGTCCTTATAAGGTGCTGACCTGATCATCAGGAGCAACTTGGGGTTCATTGTCTTGCCCAAGGACACTTTGACTGGGGAAAACAAGAATCAAACAGCTGACCTTCCTGTTAGGGGACGACTGCTCTATCTCCTGAGCCACAGCTGCCCCAGTGCGCTGGTCCAGCTCAGATAACTCTGGGCCAGCGTCTCTCTTCTGTGTTTGTTTTGTTGCCTCAGAGTTGAGATCAAACCATCTTTTTAATTCATCAGTTTGTGCCGTTCTCCTTATACCACGTGGGCTATGAAAAAGTTGCCAAAACAATCCACCGCTCGTTCATCTTGTTGGGCTACTTTTCCATGGCCCACCCTGTACAATGTTCACTGAATGAGAAAGAGCATCCCATGCATCTTTTTATTTTATTTTATATCCACTACTGATGCTACTAAATATGACAGTTCAATTGCTGTTCTCCACTTCATCACTACTCAGGTCGTTCTTCAGTTTGGAGTTCATTGATCCACCGTCTTTTTGTTGTAGAATTCCTGGCTTTCTCAACTTCTCTTTTCACTGAAAAAAGAAGCAAAAACAACATCTGAAGTTGGAATTACAAACATGTTTTTCCAGCACCTTCACGTGTTTTTTTTATTGCATTGTCTCCTCCTCTTTCCCCCATACAGGTTAGCGTGCCGATGAAATTTAACGGGGCCTCTGGTGTCCAGGTTCGTACTCCACCTAACCTGGCTGACCTGGCTGCCTACACCTCCCTGAAGTTCTACATCACTCTGCCGACACAGGACAAGCAGCAGGGCAACAGTACCCGACAGTTCATCTTCTACCTCGGCAACAAGGATGTAAGCATTCACGTCGACATAAAGGCCATTTTGTTTGGTGGTTTATTGTATATATTGAATCTCCTTTTTGTGAAATTACAATGGTCAGTGGTAAATCATGATGATCATGTTTACGTTATTGTTGTAAATGTAGTTTTTAAGTATATTCAAATTCTTATGTTTGTTTAAGGTTACAGAACGTTCATTTGATGTACACACTTTTCCAAAGTGACTAACATCCAGTAAGGGCTGTGTATGGATTTGCGTGGGCTAACCTGTGTGGATTTTGTATTCCATTACTGTTTCTGTGATACCTGTAGTCCATTAAGGAGTATCTGGGCATGGTGCTGGATGGGCAGCGACTGCACTGGTTCTTTAACGTAGGAGGAGAAACTGCTGAGGTGGAGATGCCTGAGGATGTTCAGTCCAATGGAAACTTCAACAATGTAGTCTTGGAGAGGTAAGATGTGCACACACACACTAAAATCTATATATAATGCCTGAATATGTGATGACATGGTTCCATACACATTTTTGAAAATGGCTTTCAGTGATATTTTGTCTTTACTTCATTTTATTGCTGATTTGTTCTTGTTAAAATAATGAAATGTCATTTTCCTTTCAACTTGAAAGAGAATAATCACTGAAATGTACAAAGACTGAAAACACAATGGGTCTCATTCACCAACCATTCTTAGAACAAATTTGTTCGTAAAACTCATTTACGAATTTTTCAGAAAGATTCTGGCATTCACCAATGTTTTCTTATCTGGAATTTGTTCTTGTGTAAGAACAGAATCTACACACACTCAGGAGCACACTGACACACATTTGACTGCTGACATGTTTGTGTGAAATAACATTTATTTACAAGATTTAAGTTACAACAACAGTTTTGTCATTTAGTATTTCTTTAGTATATTTCCCATTATTTTACAAAGCAGCACGCCCAAAAGTGATGTGTAATTGAATTAATTAATCACTTTTTATTGGCCAAGTATGTTAGACACAGAAGGAATTTGTTTCAGTACAGAACCAAGGCAGCCATCTGTGGCACCAACTCACACACACACGCATACACACACCGATGGTGGCGCTGTCCTTATAAGGTGCTGACCTGATCATCAGGAGCAACTTGGGGTTCATTGTCTTGCCCAAGGACACTTTGACTGGGGAAAACAAGAATCAAACAGCTGACCTTCCTGTTAGGGGACGACTGCTCTATCTCCTGAGCCACAGCTGCCCCAGTGCGCTGGTCCAGCTCAGATAACTCTGGGCCAGCGTCTCTCTTCTGTGTTTGTTTTGTTGCCTCAGAGTTGAGATCAAACCATCTTTTTAATTCATCAGTTTGTGCCGTTCTCCTTATACCACGTGGGCTATGAAAAAGTTGCCAAAACAATCCACCGCTCGTTCATCTTGTTGGGCTACTTTTCCATGGCCCACCCTGTACAATGTTCACTGAATGAGAAAGAGCATCCCATGCATCTTTTTATTTTATTTTATATCCACTACTGATGCTACTAAATATGACAGTTCAATCGCTGTTCTCCACTTCATCACTACTCAGGTCGTTCTTCAGTTTGGAGTTCATTGATCCACCGTCTTTTTGTTGTAGAATTCCTGGCTTTCTCAACTTCTCTTTTTTGTTTCTACATGAGATTCCTGTGCGCACACGGCCCTGCAGTCTCATGCCCTTTTATGGGCACTGGCAGGGCATTAACCTATGCTGATTAGGAATGACTGACACAGGCTTTCAGCTTACAAACACATGGGATTCATCAGTATAACACCAGTGTGAACAATTCTGTGGTTTAAGATCAAGTTCATGAATCAGACATAGACTTTTCCTAGGGCTTTTCTTAAGAACAAACTAAGAACAGATTTTAAAAAAACACTTAGGAAAATGCTGGTGAATGTGGCCCATGGTTTTTATACCTGGATATTGTATCCTGGTTTTCTTCAGCCTGCTTTATCACCATACAGTGACTGGAGATTTCCTTTTTGAGAAAGGTTGCCAGTCCACATTTCCTGTGTGTTTGTGTTGTTTTATCACAGTTAAAGCAATGTAATGAGCTTTTTATATGTCCAGCATTGCTCTAAATGCTATTTCAGAAACACATTCAATACACTGATAAAACAGTATAATTATGATTCAGTGTTATGCTCCTGTTTGTGACAAGACATCAGCTGTCAGTATCTGTTAAGCTTGTGCACCAGTGTGCATGTCTGTGTCTCTGCCATTGCCTGCATCTTTTTATCATGCATATGTGGTTGTGTTCCCCTGGACCTTCTCCTTATTATCTACTTCTCTGTCTGACGGAATGCAGGATCCTTCAGTATGGTCAAATGTCCATATCTTCAGAAGCCACCGAGGGGGACAAAAGAGTCACCAAAGCTCATGCGGAGGCTACAGGAGATCAGGGTCTACTCAACCTCTTGACTGATGACACAGTCTTCTATGTGGGAGGATACCCGGCAACATTCACAGTAAGTACATCGAGGATTGTGTCCTTCTCTTGTGGGGTGGACTCAATTACTCCCAGCAGTTATGAGAGAATATAAAATATTGTAACGGCCTCCCCTGGTGGGGAGAAGCTAGTCTAAACTACAGCTAGACTGGGCAGCTAATCTAGCTAGCGGGGTGCTAGCACCTAGTCAAATCACGGACACAGACACCAAAAGACTTTCCTTTACATTGCCTTTTTATCAGGGCGACAGGCACGTATAACAGTTACAGAACTCAAACATCAGCAGAACACAAAAACCCCTCTGTTTCTTCCACACTTCTCTCTCTTCTCCGATCTCGCTTTTCTCACGCGCACACACTTCCTGGTTCCTCCCCCTAGCCCTCCCATTGGCTGGAACAACACAGCACATGCTAGAACATCACAGACAGGATACCCCACAACCCACATCAGCATTAAACCCCGGTAGCCAGCACAGCCACCACAATATGTTGTATTATTGTTGTTCCACTGCTGCTCTTTAGTGGCATCATGCAAGTGTCCACATGTAAAAAAAAATTGAACTTTTAGCTCCCTAGGAGTGATCACATAGAGCACTGAAATAATTAGAGGCCATAAAATGAACAATTTGGCTGCAACTAACATTTCTTTTATTTACTGACAACTCCAATAACCTGAAAGCCTTTGTGGGAATACAGGGACTTCAATGTAAGCTGTTTTGTATTTAAATCAAAGTAACTGTAGCAGTTAGTTATGTTGAGAAAGACATAATAATTCCTTCGCAAATGCAAAGGCATTGAAGTGGGAACACCATAAACTGGACATATTCAAATAACACTACGTACCTTAAGCACACTGTTTCATATTACTTTTTGCTACTGGACACAACATTTAGTTAAGTGGAAAATCACTGATACTGTATCTAAGAAGGGTTTAGGACTATGTTAGTGCAAATTTAAATCATATACTGTACAAAGAGTATCAAGCTTTTAAGTTCTTTATCTTCATTTTCTGTTTCTAGCCCCCTCGCCCACTTGCTCTGCCTAACTTTAAGGGCTGCATTGAGCTGGAGACACTGAATGAGGAGGTGCTCAGTCTGTATAACTTTGAAAGCATCTTCAATCTCAATACCACACAGGAGAAACCTTGTGGCAGGTTGGTATAGTTGTCATTCAGTTAATTTACTTGTTGAAATCTTCGCTGTCTGTTGCGACTTCTCTCCAATTAAGTACAAATCATTTTTGTGGTTTTCTCTATTTTTCTCTTTTGACTAAAAACGGATGTTCATTTTTATGCCTCTGATCTAAGCCTCCAGTATTTTATTTATATTTCACTGTGTGGTTTCTAATGGAATATAAACAGATCGAAGCCGGTGCTGACTCAGGCCTGGGTGAATGATGCGGCATATTTCGACGGTACCGGCTTCGCTGAGATCACCTTTACTCAAGAATCTGATCGTGTCCAAACTCAGCGTCTTGAACAGGAAGTCAAACTGCTCTCACACAGGGGAATACTGCTTCTCCTGCAAAACGAGGTAGCGTTCACTCATCGATGAATATTTTCATCCATTCATATATACGTACATTACTCTCTCAGTCACGTAACGTATCACTGATCCTTCACAAGATGCCCAACAATCTGACCTTAGCTATCAGTCACTGATTCATTCACTCACTCTGACATTCTTTTTTTCTGTCACATTATCTCATTTATTCACTAATAAAGTTTTCTGAGACTTCATTCATTCAATCTGCAATTATTGTAATTTTCCAATTTTCAAAGAGTAAAATACAATAAATCGCTTAAAGATAATATATTCTTCTAAAAAGCACCCAATTTACTAATAACTTTTGGTGTAACTGCTTGTAGAAATAAAACTGATTTAAACGTAAGTGGACAGTTTGAATAATACATTAATAGATACTTTTTTGTAATACATAATATTTGCATTTTTACATTCAATCAGAATGTGAAAGTCATGTCCCGATTGTTTGTCATTACAGTGGTTACAAAACCCCTGTTTTCTGTCCAGGCCTTTTATCGCCAAGTAACATTGGGGATTCTGGTGTTATCCAACCGAAAATTACAAATAACTTATATATATATAGTTTCCTCAAAATAAGTACTTTTCCAACTTAAATTCTTGTATAAATGCTCTATATAAATCACATGGTGATATTTTTGAGCTCACTTTGCCAGTTTTGTAGAAACTGATCTTTCAAACACTGCTCCACAGTTGTTTTAAACCAGTTTATATTATGACAGTGTTGTGTTTTCCATACATAAGACAGACCACAATCATCAGTATATTTAATTTTTAAGAGCCAAGGTGACACATATAGCCTGGACTTATACAGCCTGAATAAACTATTATGCATAACCCTGCTGAGCTTAATTTCCTTGTGTTCTAACAGCCTCCATCATCAACCAGTAATTTTCTTTTTAACTCCCACACAGTGAATGTTTTCTCCATGCTCCACAGACCACATTACTGCAGGTTACAGCTGTATAAAACTTCACATTTGGTGTCCTTATCAAAATGCGTATGTCTTGGCCAATAGTTTGCAAATTTTTAACTCTCAAATGTTAATAATAATATTGACTTCAGAATTTCAGTATTGGTCAGATTCTAATGATTACTTTATTGACTGTTGGGCTCAAAGATGGCCAAAAGCAGCTGGAAGTACTGTTTTTTCCCCATGTCTCTACTTTATTAGAATCAGTTCCTGTGCCTGGCGGTGCTTAAGGGCAGGCTGAGGGTTTTCTACGATTTCTATGGTGATATGAAGGAGCTTGAACCTAAAGATTCGACATCAGATTCTCTGAAGATCAGCGATGCTGAACCCAAAGCTGTAAGTCTTTCACATTTTTGTATTTATTTGCCAGTCATGTACACTTTTAATTTTAAGCAACTCTAGTAGGGCTTCTTTATTTTAATGGTTAGCAGGATCTTGCCTAAGTGCCTCATTAGGTAGCTGTGTCTTTAAGTAGACTGACAGAATGACATGGTAGGTAGGTGCGTTCAGCCTGACCATACATCTCTCCATACAGGCTGGCAAAGTGGTGGTATTCTGACCATCACTAAACACAGGGGGAGGCCTACAACACCACTTATAATGCACTCCTGTGACCCTAACTGGTAAAACACACTGGAAGCATTTTCTTCGTGCATCTCATGTTGCAGATAGAATTCTGTTATATCAAATAAGTCAGTCCACACTGAATACATGAGATGTGTGTTTCCTGTAAAACCGTCACTTTTTTTTTTACATTTCATGTCCATCTTTTCCCTCTGCCACATTTAGTGAAGGGTAATCTCCACAGTCAGATGTTTAAATCACACAAATCCTGTTGTTTTCAGTTTCTGCTGGTACCTGTTACGATTGATCAGGCTGCTTGAGTTTCTTTCACTTTCCCCCTCTGTGAAGAGCCGGGGAAAGTAACCTATAATCCATAGGCTACATTAAAATATGATTTCTTCCTGGTGATCTTACATGAATGTTTTTTTTTTTTGTCCAGTACACTTGTCTTGTTGGTCAGCCTGGAATAGCCTCTTTGTCCCACCGCTAACCTGCTGACAGACAGACAACTGTTCTGATGACTTGAAACACAAAAAACATGCCACTCATGTCTCTCTTTCAGTGTGGATTGAATGGAATCATGCTTCAGCATCGCTTACATCTCGCTTCCGGTGTGTTTTACCAGTAGCAACCCACATCTAGGGTTGCACAGCAGTGCAGTGGTTAGCGCTGTGTTTAGTTTGCATGTTCTCCCTGTGCCCGCGTGGGTTCTCTCCGGGTACTCCGGCTTCCTCCCTCAGTCCAAGGATATGCATCTTAGGGTCATTGGTGACTCTAAATTGCCAGTCCGAGTGAGTCACCCAATGTCAGCTGAGATTGGCTCCAGCCACCCTGCAACCCTGTTCAGGAATAAGCAGTTTAGATATTGGATGGATATTGTAATCTATCCATGTAAATAAGACTTTAGTCAAGAATGTGCTCTCAAGCTTCTCTAACAGTCAGTCAATATATACTACTAATTAATATATATTACTATATTTCAATTGCATCTGATATGTTTTGTAAAATCTCATGTCACTGAAGATGATGTTTTTCTTGAATCCATATAGATTTTTAGATAATATGGGATATATTTATTGCTAAAGGTATTTAATCTGTCAACAAATATTTTTTTGCAAAATCTTTGAAAAAAGAGTAAAGAATCAGGTCCATATTTAGAAAATTTATGTTTATCACCATTTTTATAAATTGGTATCACCTTTGTTATTTTTATTTTGGTAGGAAAAATGCCTAATATACTTTATGCTGAAGTTTATTCACAAGTTTTTAGCCTTAGTTACTGCTGGTTGCACTGAGCTTATTGTGATGTCTGGCATGTTGTTTTTTATTGTGTAGCTGGAGATTATCATTCTGCGAATGCAATCGAACCGTGTTGTGGTGAGGAACAACCGCATCCCCCTTTACAATCAACAGTTTACAGAGGGCATCCCTTCATTCAATGGCAACTACTACCTGGGAGGAGTACCACAGCAAAAGATGCCTGAGAAGTAAGTGGGGCATGCTTCTTATCCCCCCTCCCTTCAAAAAATACATCCCAACTTATAAATCAATTTTTGAGTCAGTTCATTTGTGGTTTATAATCAACAAAACGCTTAGATCAAATCAGTCAGCACTTAATATTCTTTTGTAAAGCTCCACTAATCAATATTTTTAAATTATCAGTAGATTAAATGGCATTGTTAAAGATGCTGCTCACAGTGAGGAACCTACTATGTTACAGTTTACAATGCTTTTAAAACTGAAATTGAAAAACTGAAAGTTGTTTGCTAACATGGTGGCAGTTAACAGTTACAGTACCTAAGCCTATGTCTAATTTGTGTGTGGAGTTCTTCTGCCATTATTTGCTCTCAAAAACAATCAAAGCAGCTTCACATTTTTGGAAATTACTGTAAATTGAAAGGCTGTTTCATTTGGTCTCTGTCTGTTTTCAGGTTGAAGTCTCTGTTTCCCAAGCAGGGTTCTCTGAAGGGCTGTTTCAGGAATGTGAAGGCCCAGAGCGTTCACATCGACTTGAAGAGGATGACAAGCTCTGGAGTCAGTTTCGGCTGTGACAGTGATCTGCTGGTAAGAAACACACCAGCCCAGCCTGTATAAAAAAGGTGTAAATCAATGGCGGTAATTAGAAAATTTGGAGGTGCTGGTGCCCACAGTGAGCTTGATGGCTTCTGTTTGAAAGAATTTCATATTTCTGTTAGATATAAATTTTAGTCATTTTCTTTCCTGTTGTGCTTTTTTTGTTTTTCTTTGAAATTGTCCATCTGTAAAGGAACCATAAAAACAAGCAAAATGGAGTTACCCCCCAAAAACAGTGCAGTAGTCATTTTCTAGTTCAGTGTCTTTTAGGATTTGAAGAGTATTGTTACCTGTTTTTGAATGGGTAACCATCTGGAGAAAGTGTTTTTTTTTTGTTTTTTTTTTGCCCAGTAAAGATTTCTTTTAACTGGTAAAATTCTAACTGTATTCTAATAAAATTCCTGCTTTCTTTCTGACTTCATTAAACTGTCAAACATGACAAGTTGTGTAAAAACATTTGCCCAAGCAGTTTATTAACACTGACTGTAAAACCATTCATTTAGCTGTGTTGCTCTTGACCTGTAACATCTGAAAAAAATTTCCACTTGACAAAGATCAAACAAAAAGGTTGGAAACTGTCCTTCCCTCCTCTGGTCTTCTTTCATTCAACTTTTGCTCTTTCCTAACTGCCATATTTCTCAGTACAGAAAAGTAAACAAATGCAAATAGTCTAAGGACTTCCACAGGACATCATAACTGTGGACAGTTTCCTTTAATTCCACCACTGTTTGCCTTGACATAGAAGTAAATACAGTTGTACACACAGTAATATGTCTACAATATGTAATATTGTAATATAATAATATGTAATAATAATAGTAATATGTCTCAACCTGTCGTGTGTGTTCATCCAGATTGCTCGGGAGGCTTATTTCTCTGGTCAGAGCTTCCTGGAGTTGGGTCTGACCAACACCTTGCACCTAAAGAACAACTTCTATGCCAGCTTCAGCTTCAGAACTGAGCAGAAGGAGGGGCTCGTGTTCTACCACCACGATCAGGTTAGAAAACCTGTCCTCTAACATGTCCTCTTCCCATGATCTTATTTCTCTGTTTTTGTCTTTTTGTCTTTACCTGACTTAGAGTTGTCTTTCTTGCTCAATAATTGGAAATTAATTCCCATGACGTGTTCCTCTGTCCTGCTTTCAAACAGCATATTCTTACAAGCAGATGTAATATGTGTCATGTGTGTACAGGATGGAGTGTGTCAGGTGTTCTTACATGAGGGCCACGTGGTGGTGAGAGTTGACAACAGTGAGATTAAGACGCAGAAGACATACAACGATGGCAACAGCCATTACATTGCTATCTACAACAACATCAATGGGTAGGACGACTGTTGCTAAGTCCTCATGATACTATCGAACTTTGGTTGGAAAGACCCACCATGCACCTTTTTAAACTTGCGTACGTAAACTGTACTCTGGCTGTCTGACTGCTTATCTTTCAGATTGCGTCTGTACATGGACGATGTGCTGGAGAGAGCAAAGGAGAGCATCAGGCTGGACAGCACAGGCACTGGCGTGACCACCTCAGAAGGAAGCACCTTCCTGGGAGGACTGCCTGACCAGAGCCTTGCCAACCTCACTGGGTGTATCAGCAATGTTTTCATCAAAAGGTCAGAGAGAGGACAGGAGGGGCAGCACAGCTCAGCCAGAAACGTCAGGCTAGTCATCAAACAGAGCAGGGGTTACATTTTGTTAAACAAGAGACGGAATCAAACTCTAGTTTGCTGTAGAAAAAAAATCTGCTTTGGAGGTTCAGAGGTTTTAACTGCACCACTACACATTTGGTAGAATATCTCCATTTCGTGCATATGAACGCATTACCAGACACTTGGGGTGACACTTTCCTTTGTTGCCATCAAGTGAAGTTTATTCTAAAACAACTCAAAAGCTGTTGTCTACATGGTAAATTGGCTGTGTCAGGCAGATGTGCTTTGATCGTTTGACAAGCTGAAAGAGGAGAAAACCACACTTGCTATTCTGTTTACAGTAAAGGAATGTGTGGGATTTGAACTTGAAATTTGAACTTTGAACTTGAACTTTAACTTTATTGTCATTGTACATTGTACAATGAAATTGAAAATGCAATCCTTCGATGATAAAAAATAATCATAAACAATAAAACCCAGCAAATTTTTCCCATTAGACAGCTAAACAGGGAGAAATCATTTAAAGTCAAGAAGGTTTGTCAGGCTAGGTGTAGCTCTTATTAGTCACATATGATGGTTCATGTGTAGAATGAGTTCATTCTCTCCTGTGAAAGTTTACATCAACCCTCAGGTTTAAGAGGGATTTAACAGGTAATATAAGGAACAAGATACAAAGCCAAGTGAAACTGCTGTAATGCAGAGCTCAGACCTCAGTGGTACACACTGTTTTGCAGTGAGAGGCTGTCTGTCTTAAGATGAGTTAGTGATAGGGTGCCTGTTACTCTAAACAGAGGACACATGTGTAGAGAAGCAATGCAGAGTGGAAACCGAGACGTTTAATGGATCAATAAAATACAATCAGCTGGTGAGTTTATATTGAACTCAGCTTTAAAATGTGTTTTTGGTCCTCAGAGAAACCAGTCCTCAGATGATTGTGAACTTGCTGAGCGCCAATGAAAATGTCAACGTGCCTCTGACCTGTCCTGCTGCCAAGAAACCTCAGCAGATTGTTGCTGCCCAGCCCAAACACAGCAGCAAACCCAAGGTACACAGCGAATTCTGATTTTCCTAAAAGAACAAAACAAAGCAACTCATAGTTTGTGAACAAAAATATACAGTGGATATGAAGTGATCAATTTATACTTTCCTTTCAGGGTAAGCACAAGAAACCATCGGGGTCTCGCAGTCGTAACTCCAGGGAGTCGTGTCAGGGCGAGCAATCGGAGCAGGAGACCGGAGCGACGCACTTCAGCGGCTCCACACACAGCTACCAGAGATATGACTCTCTGCCCAGATCACTCAGCTCAGTGTGAGTGGGAACGAATGAATGGTTTCAGTTTTGTCACCGGCGTCGCCCTTCTCTCATGATGTTCATAAGCAGCAAATCCAACAGTCCAGCATGTAGACAGACCCGCATCTAGCAGCATAATGTACAGACTTCATACAGATCTGACCAGCCTAATGTCTCACACAGCTGCATAAGCATCAACAGAGTCATGTGATCAAACATAACTAAAACAAAATATCAGTTCATATCTCAAATAAATAAACCAGTGTAAAATATAGTAGAAATCCACTGATAGGATCTGTTCTCCTCCTAATCCATGCTGTGTTCAGAAAACACAATCACATTGAAAGCTATTCAGTTAAAGCTCCGTTTTCAGTTCTAATCGTTAAAACTTCTAAAACAGGTATTGAACTTAAAAAACTGTGGGCACACAGACACAGTTAGAGACCAACTGTGGAGGTGTTAGAGACCAAAGCATAGCTACAGTGAGGGTGACTGGTGGACATGGGCCCAAACACAACTCCAGTGGGCTGATCGTGTCACACTGTGCCTGCTGGGTGAATAAATATCAAGCTAACACACTGTAATAACAGTTTTATAAGGTGATACAAAGTCACAGGTGTGTGTTTTGCAGGGTAATGCAGTGTTTTTCTGTCTGGCCACAAACTTAATCAAAACAGAATGGTAAATGGTCTTATACTTGTATAGTGCTTTTCTACGCTTTACAACACACTCAAAGCACTTTCACACTACTTGGCCATTCACCCATTCACATTCACACACCGGCGTTATCACCGGGAGCAACTGGGGGTTCAGCGTCTTGCTCAAGGACACTTTGACATGTTGACTGGTCAAGCCAGGAATTGAACCGCTAATCCTCTGGTTAAGAAATGACCTGTGCTACCTCCTAAGCCACAGCCGCCCCCTGAATGAATCACTTTGGATGGTCTGAAATGTTGTAAGTCAATGTTTGTAAGCTGGTATGTAATCCCTCGTCTCTGTGCAGACCGCACATCTCGATGGCTGTGAAAATCAACTCCTCTGATGGTCTGCTGCTCCACATGATCAGTGGGCAGCGCGGCGGAGCGGTGATGTCACTCAGCGTGTCGGACGGCCACCTGCTGCTTTTGTTGGACGGAGGGAAAAGGCAGGTCAGCCTGCGCAGCCGTAAGAAGTACAACAACAACCAGTGGCACACGGTGAGGGTTTTTAAATCTTGTAATTAGCATTTTATACACAAAGTAGTGGAATGACAGCAGAAAAATTGACAGGGTTGTACAACCCCAAATGACAATAAGTTGGGATGATATGTAAAATCAAAACTGAAAATGGTGATGTGTAAATCATCTGTGCCCTGTATTACATTGAAAACAACACAGTAGCACATGATTTGATGATTTGATGCATAGGCTCAGGATTATTTTGGTACACCTGTGTCAGGCACTACAATACGTAGTTACATCCATAAATGCTGCTCAAAACTGTACCGTGCCAAAAGGAAGCCCTATGTCAACAGTGTCCAGAACCTCTGGCCTCAGAGGCATCTGGGACGGACCATCACACATTGGAAATGTACACTGTGGTCAGACAAAACAGTATTTCAGGTCTTTGTTGGAAGGAAAGGCCGAGACCATCTTTGCCATCTTTGGTTTGGAGCACATAGTGCTCCAAACCAAAGATGGCAAAGGTGACTTACATTTCTGTGATGGCACCATTAATGTTGAAAAGTACACAGAGATGTTGGAGTGACATATGCTGCCTTCAAAACGACATCTTTTCCAGGGATGCACATGCATATTTAAACAAGACAATCCAAAACCTCATACTGCCACATTACCAAGGCCTGGCAGTGGAGGGAAAGGGTGTGAGTACACAGATGATTTACACATCACTGTTTTCAGTTTTCATTTTGACTGTCCCAGCTTTTTCTGATTTGGGGTTGTATCTAATTCCCCAGACTGAGTGAGTGTTCATTCTCCTCCTGGGGCTGGTTTACCTGAATGATCTCACCTGCTCTGCCTCTCTGTCTTGGTCTGTTCAGGTGTTTGTAAAGCGTGAGGGAGAGAGGGTCAGTCTGACAGTGGACGGTATCAGCGCTCAGTCTAAGAGAGTTCCTGGAGGAGACAGGACTCGTCTCACTGGGCCTTTATATGTCGGGGGAGCGCCGCCCTCACTGATGGTAAACTGCCACTACACACAGCTGCTAGGTGACCTGAGCACATATTATTTTCATTCAGTAACTGTCCTACAGCCAGTACTGGTTCCATCTTGACTAGTTCTAGTAAGTAGCTGAACAGGTTTTCTTTATTTATTTATTTTTGCTCCGATCTAAGGGGCTACATCATGAATCAGTCACCATCACTTTATCTCACTCTAAAGACAACAGTCTTTTATAGCATGTCTGTTTTGAAATCTAAGATACGATTTAAGAGAACATTTAGTTTTTACACTGAGTACACCGAATGATTATTTTCATTACTGATGAATTGATTCTTGTTGTTGTTTTTTGTTTTTACTTGATTAGGTGATTGTTTGGTCCAGAAGTTCTCATTGTAATTTCATAGATCCCAGAGTGACATCATCATGTCTTTGTCCAGTCATAAGACCAGCAGCTCAGTGGCACATTGAACAAGCTGGAACCATTGAATGCTGGTTTGGCATTTTGCTTGATAAGTGACTTGAATGCATCAAAATAGCAAAGTAATTGTTGTAGCTCTAATAACATTTTGCTGACTGTACTTAATGCTACAACACTGGCTACAGTCATCTAATGACTGAACACAACATGTCAGACAACTAGACAGGCTGTTACCAATCTGTTCTACACAGGGTGAAGACCTCATAGCAACATATCCATAGTGCTGCTCTTCAAGGATTATCTCGTTTTTTTTCTATACACAAAAATATATACTATTAAAATCATTTGACAGAGTAGAATCAATAAGAGAATCTCCACATAGTGGAGTATCACCTCGGTGGCCAACGTCAAGGTACATGTAAAAAAAAAACAAAACAGACATTTCCTTCAAATCAGATGACTGTGATCCAAAAAAACTAACATCTGAGTGTGACATACTGTGGTCAGCATTTCATCACACATTTGTTCTATTCAAATCTCTGTTTTGCTGTAAACTTCAGGCCCCAGGCTCTGGTGGTTTTGTCGGGTGTGTCAGGGACCTGACACTGAATGAATCCCCTGCAGGAAGCCCTGCTTACAGCCAGGGGACAGTGCCCTGCTTCCAAACCCCTCTGCAGCCGGGAGCCTACTTCTCTGGCCAGGGAGGACATATGGCAATAGGTAGTGATCAGCACTGCTGTTCAGTCCTGCTGTGTCTCTGTGGTGACTGACAGCCTGACCTCTCTTCTTGCAGATGAATCCTTGGTTCTGGGGCGGGATTTTGAGATCCAGCTAGAGGTTCGACCCATCTTGGACTCCGGGCTGCTGTTGCATGCTGGGACATCACCTGACCGACACCTGGATTTGGTCCTGAGGCAGGGAGAGGTGAGAACCAGAGACAAATAAGAACTTTTATTCACTCAGCAAAGTCGCTTGTCTTCAGCCTACAAATCCAAAACCAAACCTCAACATGGCGCATGTCTATATAGGTGACTGTTTCAGTGAACAATGGCAAAGGTGAACTGTCTACCTCGTTCACTCCTGAAGAATCGCTCTGTAATGGCCATTGGCACACAATCACAGGTGAGTTTATATCAACAATGTTCTGGACTTGTCCACATGTTATTGCTCTGGGCTGTTGTAATGCTGTTGTGTTGTGTGTGTGTCTCCAGTGGTGAAGAAGAACAGCGTTCTCCAGCTCCATGTGGATGCAGCCAGTGAGCACAGCATCGGCCCTAAACACAGGGGGTCTACAGGGGCTAAGGAGACCGTTTACCTCGGAGGGGTACCTGGTGAGTGCGCGCGCACACACACACACACACACACACACACACACACACACACACCCTCCATAAATATTACAGCTTTATTATAGTTGAGATGCTTTTTTCTCACAATTACAGTTTTGTTCATTTATAGGTCAGCAGCTGTTTTTCTCTGGGAGCTTCAGAGGCTGTCTCAAACAGTTGACAGTTTCTCTTCTCTTTATGAAAAGCAGTAACCCGTCCTTTCTTAAATCCTCTAACATGTTGTGCCTCTCTGTGTCCATCAGATGGCGTCCCAGTTCCCGGTCTGCCTGCTGGCCTACCAGCCTTCCGTGGCTGCATTCGCCGAGTAACAATGAACCACAGACCTGTCATGTTGTCCAAACCACTGGCTGTGCATGGTGCTGTGGGGACACAGGGCTGCCCACACATGTAGACCCCACCCACACACAGTCTTAGCCCCACATTCCCTAACTACAGATTACTGGTGGTGGGCATCATGTTACTGTAGCTAATTTAAAATATATGAATATTTATTTTCTATTTCCAGAAAAATGTATATTTTCACATTCGTCATCACACTATTTGTTTTTGTGCTACAGGGTGCTACAACAGTGACAAGTGTCTCCACATATAGGATTGGACTGATACAAGTAACTGGTATCAGATGTCAATTATTCAACTAGGGTTGAAATTTGACATCTGATACTAGTTACTTGTATCAGTCCAATCCTATATGAATTACAAAATGAGCAGTATATTGTAATAAAGCTAACACAGCTGGAATGCTCCTGCTTTTCCAAAGAAATCATGAAAAATAAGTTAGGTAAATTATAAATTCTTTGAATAAATCAATAAATTCTGAGACAGGATGATTCCATCTGGCATCATGCATCTCTAGCAGATACTGAGTCGCCACACTGTGAACGCCAACATCCTAAAACAGGGCCTAGGACTGAACTTAATAGGAAAATTTGAGTTTATAAGTTCCTAACACCTACTTGGACAAATTTAACACAAAAGGTTGTGTATTCATATGGAAAAAGGGCATAAGAGCAGGTATTTTCGATTGGCTGTTCTCTGTATTGTTTGAAACACACATCTCCTCATACCTTGGTTTTTTCTGGCTCCCCAGACCTTTCAGGTCATACCGTAGTTTCAAACTAAAGAGTGTTCAGATCAACATCCACACTGAAAAACCTGCTCTGATGTATCCAATCAGCCATAACATCATGACCACTGAGAGGTGAAGTGACACCATCTGTTACAGTGGCACCTGTCAGTGTGTGGGGTGTATTAGGCAGCAAGTGAACATCCAGTCCTCAAAGTTAGAAACAGGAAAAACATAAGGATCTGAGTGACTTTGACAAGGGCCAAACTATGGTGGTCAGAGCATCTCCCACACTGCAGGTCTTGGTGGGTGTTGTTGGTCTGCAGTGGTTGGTACCTACCAACAGTGGTTTAAGGAAGGACAAATGGTCATGGACGCCCACGGCTCACTGATGAGGTTGACCTACTGTAGATTAAACTTTTAACTTCCATTTGTACTTTTCAAAAGATTAAACTTAATTTGAATCTTTATTAAAATGGTTGAAAATGAGAAACACTGTACATTGGTCTCTATGAAGAGAAAGAGTCAGGGGCTGTAGTGGTGATATCACACCTAGAGTGGTGAGGCTGTTGGATTTGTCTCAACAATTCTAACTTGTTCTCACGACTAGTTTTCACTCCTTTTACATAAGGTTTTCACTGAATTGTCGACACATTCATGCTCTTCCTGACAGTAGAACTATAGAAGCAAATGGATTCACAGAAGATGCACAGTGAGCTGCAGAGTGACACGAGTGCCAACCAACTGCCACATTGACTTCTATGTAAACAGTATTAGGCAGGTGGATATGTTATGGCTGATCGGTGTATACCTCATGTCAGTCCATTGTTCACGGTAATTAAACCCAAATTTTAGGGTTATATTTGGACCCCACCCCCCATGTGATCATACAGCTGGATGCAAAATATGCTCACGTCATTAACATGTCAGCTTCTGTCCAGGGTGTAGGTGGTGTTTCCCATCTTTATATTGTCATCAGTACAAACACCTTAACATGAGTGAAGTTTCTATGTAATATATCCGTTTAAAATTCTGGCAAACTTGAATAAGCTGTCCCTCCCCCTCACTCCTGGTGTTGTATTTGCATTTCTAAATAAAGTATTTTTCCCCATGCAAACTGAAGTCTTCAGTGTTTGTTTCCCATCTGCAAAAAACACACTTGAGGGAGGTTGGTTTGCTTTGCCAATAGGATTTATTATGAAGAGTTGATCACACAAGCCTGAATCAGCACTCAGGTTTAGACTGCAACAAGAGAAATACATAAAAAAAAACTAAATCAAACTCAAAGCTCAATCCCAACACCAGTTTGTGTAACACTGCCACTCACCTTTCCAAGTTAAACTCAAGTGTGAATAGAACAAAACAGCTGTGGATAAACATAGGTCGGTTTACACTGTGGCACAGCGGCTCTGTCTGCATCCTGAGTGTGAGCAGAGTGCTGCCTTTGGTATAGCAAAGTGTAAGACAAGACTGAAGAGAGGGAGGTGAAGAAGAGAAAGGGCATCACACATTTACTGAGACTCAGCTATGGTTTAGCAGGCTAAGAACTCTAATCCAGACTCATGTCCTCGTCATCGTCTTTCTTCTCTTTGGAGTCTCCCTTACTGCCCTGCATGGCCCTGGCAAACGCTTCCACATCTGATGAGACCCAAACAGAGATTAGTATATTACACAAATGGAATGCAAGTACAAGAAGTCTGTCCAATAGAGGGACCAAGTAAATCCCTACGGCACTTGCACACTACACATTAGGATTTGATCAAATCATTATTGTGACAATCTGGTGCTACAGGAATGAGAAGTGACAGCTGGACAGATCTACATGGGATTTAGGAACTTCCTCCTCAATCTCCACAATGATAAAGCAAAAGCAGGTTTGTTGGACTATTTTGTAAATGTATTAAAAATAAAAGACTGAAAAATCTCATTTACACAAGTATTCAGACCCTTCTCTTAGCACTTGGTTAAAGCACCTTTGGCAGCAGTGACTGCCTCAAGTCTTCTTGAGAATGAAGCTTGGCACCTTTCTTTTGGAATTTTCCTCCACTCCTCTTGCCAGAATCATAACAGGTCAACCAGGTTGGATTGGGAGCATTGGTGCACAGCCATTTTCAGGTCTCTCCAGAGATGTTCTTTTGGGTTCAGG